ATCATCTTTGTTTTTTTTGCACCTTTCCCCAAAAAAAAAAAAAAAAAAAAAAAGGCAACCCTTTAAGCTAAAAACCCTTCTATTAATCCCTAAAACATAATTTTATGCTCTTAATATTAATTTAACTTTGAAAAACAGTTTTTCTTTGCTAAAATTGCAAATTTCACAGATCTAATATAGAACCCTGCTTTCTTTAAAAGGGTTTTAGCAGCTTCCCTTTTGTAAAGATTGGAATTTTTTTTTATGAACCCTTTATTTTTCTCTTATATTAGTATTTAATTTTGATGTTGGTGGGTTTTTCACATTGGGGTTTTTTACAATTTATTTGCCAATTTTAGCAAAATGTTGAAAACTCCTTCAAAATTTGTAAATCATGCTAATTCCATAAAATTCGAAAGAAAATTACTTGTTTTCTGAAGTTAATCTTCCTCCATAAGAGTGGAATTAATTTACATGAAGGTGGATTTTCACAGAAAAACTCAGACTAGAAGAAAAAGTTCAAAAGTGGAAGATGATTCAGCTTTTGTTCCTTGTTCTCTGTGTAGAAATTGGGGTAGCTTTCTTCTTGTTAGTGAAAGTGGGGCCATTAAGAGAGCTTGTAATGAAAAGCTTGGACCAGGTGAAATTAGGGAGAGGACCAGCAACAGTGAAGACAATTGCTGGTACAATGTCTGTGATATTTATGTTTCATTTGATGAATATTTTGAAGATCCAAAATAAGGGTAATAAGCTTGGTACTATGTCACCTATGGATCAAGTTTTGTGGAGGACTCATTTGCTTGAGGCTTCACTTATGGGTATGAATGATCTTCAATTCTCTATTGTGAATTTCTTGTTTGTTTGATTTGGTTTGGTTTGTGTTATTGTGGTTATTTTTGTTTCAGGCCGTTTCGCTTGATTTCGTTGTTTGTGTTGATGTTGTATGTTGTAATGTGTGATATGAGTGATAAGGAATTTGTTAATGTGGAAATTGTACAAACCTTTGATGTTATTAGTAATTTGAATGATAAGGATTGGATTGTGTGATAGTGAAGATTATATAGTTATGTGATGCTAATATTTGGCATTTTGGAAGGGAGTAGTCAATTGTGATTTAATTGGGACATATTAGGGTTTGTGGTTTAGGAAATGTTTCTGAATTGGATTTTACATTCATTTGTTTCTATGATGTGGAAATGCTATAATTTTGTGGAGGGCGATGAGTAGGCTTGTTTGGGTATTAGCAACTTATTGGTTAGGACTTGGGAGGTTTAGTAGCTTGTAATGATGGCAATTTGTGAAGTTGTATTTGAAGTTAGTAATTTGGCAAGTTTTGTGGTGAGACCTAATATGCTACTTGAAACATAGGATGAAATAGTGAAATAATAAGACCAGTATGCTGATTACATGCTCTTTATTAAATGATGGGATTATAAATTGATTTGGTCAATATCATTCAATCCAAATATCCTGAAATCTACATATTGTTCATGGATATTTACCATAAAAGCCAATGTCTATGTCCGTGGTATGGTATGGGGGGTCGGTGATATATAGTTAACATGGAGCACTTGTATCGTTGATATTTAGCATCTTGGGACACTCTAGGAAATTTGAATTTGGGAATTTCTATTAATGAGGTTCTGGTGTATTGTTTGTTTGGCTTAAAAAGGTTGGTGTCTGTTTATGGGAGAATATATACTTCATATGAATACGGTGTTTGCAGTAAATCTTCATAATGTGAAGTGCATAGCCTTTGTTATGGTTTCAAAAGCTGCATGTGGCTAAAGGTTTAAGGCTCTTATAGGTTGAGATTGGTAAGCATTAATTCGAGTTAACATCTGTTGTTTAAGATGGAAAAGTCTTTGTTACCTAGTAGTTTCTGTTAAACAGTGCAGAGACTTGAGGGGATGGAATTTCTGAGTTTTATATCTGAAATGGACCTAGACTGTTTGTTTATTTTGCAGATCTCTGAGTTTTACTTAGTGGCAAGTGTAAATGAGGTTGATTTTCTGAAGTTTCTTTAAGTGGAAATGATATGCGCATGACTTCTCAACTGCTTTATGTGGATAGTCTATAGGTGTTAAATGTTGGTGATCTATCCATTTGCAGTCTCAACATGTTATATCCCAGATGCTTTCTCATTAGTAGAAAGTCATATGACCCTGATGTTGAATAACAGTTGGTGTGAGGTTTTCATATACAGCCAAGTAAACTTGTCTACATATTTTCATCTGTACTCCTCACTGCTTCAAAGGACTTTTTGATAGGTTGGATGGCAATTTAAATGAGTTTGGTTATTTGGTTGCAGTAATGGCATGTTGAGATATTTTAGTATCGAGAGTTTGAGACTGTACATAGTTCCATAATTTTAGAATTGACATTGTCTCATGGACCTTGCACCATCCAGCTCTTTTGGGTTAGTTGACTGACTTACCTTTTTTAGAAAAGACTATTTGGTGAAAGTTGAACATAAAACAATTGAATGTCTGATGGCTGTTTACCATTATTCTGCCTCGTCATTGGAATTTTATTTTTATGTTTGGGGGTGGGGGGGGGGGGGGGGGGGGGGGGGGGGCGGGGATTAGGGTGTGGATCAGTTAATGCATGCTACTGAAGATATAACACTTACAATCAATGAATCAATATGGACACAAGATTCCAGTGATATGCTCATTATGAGGATAGATATGATGGTTACAGAAAATGCATATTTAGACATAATTGTTCTAGAATATCTGTGGTCCTGAAGAAAGGCTGAAACTAGCTGTTCTTTTGGAAAATTTTGGGTGAATCGACCATCTAGTGATGAATATGAACTCTCTTTAGGACTACTTACCTGGTGAAAGAAAGTGCTTATGCTGCTTCTGTGCTTTCTTCACTCGACACCCATTTCCAGAAAGTTTTTGGTTGATTTTGGCCAAATTAATGTACCTATGCCAGAATTTGAGTCTGACACTTGAGGTAAAAGGGAGTACACATGCAACAATATGTTATTCCTTGAGCTCCAAACATAAGTACCCAATAATAATCTCCTCCATTTGGATTTGTGTGAATTTGTTGATTGATCTTATTTCCTCAACGGTTACTGTAGCAACATAGTCCTGGCTTAGAATAAGAAGTTGGTCAATCATAATGCAATGTTGAGAGAAACTACCTGGTACTTGGAGCCTTGGGTTTGGACTTGAGTTGGGTTAGGCCCTAAACGGGGGCAAAACTCTCCCTACCAATGCTTCTACATTCTCAGGGCTTACACCTTAGGCCTTTGGTTAAGCTGCTACTTACCCCCATACCAGCTTATCCAAGCATGTTGTGGTAACCATTATACATATAAATCAATAAAATCATAATGTATTGTTTGAGAGAAACTACCTGGTCTCCGAAGCCATGGATTAAGATTCGAGTTGGATTAGACCCTAAACAGGGGCAAAATTCTCCCTTCCAATGCTTCTACATACTTAGGGCTTGAACCTGAGAGGTTAAGCCGTTAAGCTGCTACAACCCCCTTACAAACTAATCCGAGCATGTGTGGTAACCATAATGTATATATATTCCCCAGCTGGCGTTAATGAATTTGGAATTTGTTTCATTCTTTCCTCCCTGCCTTTCCTAGGTATTTAATTTGTTTCTTATTTGGATGCTACCAGCTGTATATCTACTCATAATTCTCTTCCTTGCTCGAGGTCACTCATGTTGTATGTATCTTGTATGTTAGATGGAAAATTTTTCCACCCTTGTGAGTTCTTATGGATTCCTAATCTGTTGTTTACTTTTTAAATATGAGATATTGGCCATCTGCTGCCTTGACTTAAATTTGCTCTAATATAGCCAGAGTGCAATAGCTTATATCATTTTGATTTCTTGCATATACCTAATTAGACATCTAACAAAGATTTGTTTATTTTCTTTACAGGCTTCACTTTATTTCTTGGCTTCTTAATTGAACGTATGCACCACTATCTCCGGAAAATCATCAATATCAGAAGCAAGGTTGGAGCATCAAAAGAGGAATTGGAGAAGATTGAAAAAGAAAAGCAACAGCTCAAGGAGAAGGAGGAGAAGGCTTCAAAAGAAATAACAAAGCTACAGAACGAACTATCAAAGCTGACTGAAGAAATAAAGAAGCTAAAAGTGGAATCACAAGAGAAAGACAAGACGATCGAGACTGCTGACGCTCATGTAGTCGCCCTCCAGAAACAGGCGGCTGATTTGCTTCTCGAGTATGACCGTCTGCTAGAAGATAATCAAAACCTTCAGAACCAAGTTCAAAAAAGGTGACTGAAGGAATTTGACAAGATTTAGATTTTAAGTCCATACAAACATTTTGATTTTGTGATTTATATGGTTAAGGATTCCAGTGCCAAAACCTGTATTTCTATATTCAACTGGACAGAAACAATTAAGGGTATCTCTTCTTTTGGGGTATGGTGTTTGGGGGTTAGAATGAAGGGATGGATCCTGGTTAATAGATGGGCAGAGCTCGGTGTCAACGGTGCTAATTTTTTTTTGCAAATATATGTTTTGTATGATGAAAACAGATCTTTCTTTCCATTCATACGAAATATATGTTAATGCTTGGAAGCAACCACATTTCCATACTAAGAGCATGTTTGGTTGGAGTGTTTTATGATTGGAAACGGATTCAAATAAATTATTATCGTTACTAAGTGTTTGGTTGGAAGGTTTGGGTAACAATTACCATTACTCAAATAATGGTTTCCACCCATTTGTTACTTCTCTAAAACCGAATGTAACAATTATCCTTACTCTCCTCAAACAAAAATAAAGAAAGATAGATTTAAGTGATTCTTTTTCATGATTAAACCAAACAAATAGAAAGGTAAGAGTTAAATGATTCATTTCTTCCCACTTATTTGTTTCCTTTCCACTCCATCTTCATTAGTCATACCAAACGCCCCCTAAACCTTCAAGTGTTACCTGAGTACCCGACTGATGAATGGTGATGCATGAAGTCATGAACTAGTTGAATTAATTAAAAACCACGTTTCTGAAAGCTGGTTATTATGGTAAAAGTGATTTACTTCTTTCAATTTATAGGTATTACTTACAACATACTTTCAAACTCATGCAAATTCACAAGAAATAATTACGATTCTCAACCACAAAGCACTAATCACTTTATGGGGGAATTATCACTTGTACTGTTATCGAATTATCCGTGGTTTTTCAACAGCAGAACTCATGTCTAAGCAACGTCTCCAGAACCACAGGAATGGAAACCACGTGTCAAGTGATGGAAATTGCTCCAAAATCTCTCGAAGTTTTCTGTCAACTATTTTGAATGTGCATTGAATTGTTTCAGGGAAATCCCAGATTCTTGTAACACTGCAATTTCATCAATGAGATCTATAAAGGAATGATGGATCAACCCTCTGTTGCCTCTGCGATCAATGTAAAACACTAAAACCTCTTGATAATGTGGCTTATTTCTCAGCAAACAATTAATACAATTTCAGAAGCCACCTTCGGATAGTATTGGTTTCAGGAGTTCGGTCAGAGGACAGCATATAATCTTCCCAAGGCTACTACCAAATGAATCCTTTTATTAACAAACAAAACTTTGAGGTGCTTTTCAAAACAAAGCTACTTCAGACAACAATAGTTCCTCTGCTTTCTGCCAGGAGCTGTTCTTTTTAGTTCCACAGCAAGTTCAAGGCTGTAAGAAGGATCAGTTGGTAAAGGACTGAACCTTCTCTAGCTTTAGCACTGACACGCTTGAGGACTTGAAGTCATTATTCACCAATAATCTCCGCATGAGCAGACACCGTGCTTGAAATGATGAAATCGTTTTACATCCCTTACAACAATCTCTCTGTTGACAATTTTTGATATATATTTGATCGCCTCATGGCAATCTCCACAAACTCTAAGATTTTTAGTAATAACTAACTTAGTCCCAGGTTCAGTGTTCAAGAGGCCAAATGCAATAGCCAGTCTTTCACTATGAAAACTTAACATTTTCACCTTTACTTCCTCCTCAAGATCATGGAAAACAAACTCGGTTTTTGGCGTATAACCCATGGCTCTCATCTCACTGTCCAATTTCTCTATTATTATGACCATGTGCTCATATTGGTAATGGCTCTTATCTTCCATAAGGAAAGCATGGAGCTGACCTTTCACCTCCACCATGCTGTAACCAGGGACTTTCTTCATACCTGCCATCCTCATTGCTTTCCTCACCTCAGCCACTTCTTTCCACTTTTTCGCTGATGCAAAAAAATTTGCAACTAAAGAATAAATGCCAGAATCATCTGGCTGTAATTCAAGAACTCTCTTTGCAGCCAACTCCCCAACAGAAAACTTTCTGTGGTTATGACAGCCAGACAAAAGAGCGGCCCAGATGGACATCCCAGAAACAGGTTCTTTCATGGAATTTATTAAATCAAGAGCTTCTTCTACTTTACCTGCACGAGCTAACAGATCAACAACACAAGCATAATGTTTCTCGCTAGGTTCAATCCTGAATCTTTTGATCATTTCATTGAACCAGTACTGGCCTTGCTCTACAAGACCTGAATGGCCTAAAGCTGAAAGAAGAGATGCGAATGTAGCATCATCGGGATTTGAGTTGGTCTTGATCATCTCATGGAATACTGAAAGAGCAGCCTCTCCATGGCCATGAATTCCATAACTCGCTATCATAGTATTCCATAAGATAACATCCTTACAACTTATCATATCAAAGAGTACACGAGCATATGATAGAGCCCCACATTTGGAATACATGTCAATCACAGCAGTGGCAGAAACATGTTCAAACTCTTGCCTACGAAGTATATATGCATGTATTGATCTACCCATTTTCAAGTAGCCAACATGTGAACACGCTAAAAGAGCACTCACAAGAGAGGCTAAATCTGGTCTGCATCCAACTCTCTGCATCTCTATCAACAACTCAAGAGCTTCCCCTGCTAAACCATTTTGAGCATAGCCTGAAACCAAAGCACTCCAAGAAACAACATTCTTCTGAGGCATGTTACAAAATATTCTATATGCTAGGCTCAAATGACCATTTTTCGCGTACATGTCCACAAGACTAGTATATATAACAACATCCATTGGAAGATTTCTTCTTATCAAATGCCCATGGACAGAAAGACACATCTTCATATCACCAATATCAGTGCAAGCCTGAATCAATCCCAACATAACAATCCCATCTCCTACCATCCCTTGTTCTTGCATCTCTCGAAACACTCCAACCGCCTCCATCCCCTGTCCAATCCTTGCAAACCCAGTCACCATAGTCGTCCAACAAACAAGATCTTTCCTCTTCATCCCTTCAAAAACCGCTTTCGCTTCCACCATCCTCCCACCCTTGGACAACAAATTCAAAACAGAACACCCAACAAAATCATCATCCTTATAACCAAACCCAACAGCCTGATGCCAAATCTCTTCTCCCATCTCAAAATCACACAAACTCGCACACGCCTTAATAGCCATTGTAAAAGATGAACTATCAGGCTTTATTCCTTCATTAATCATCTCAATATAAACACCCACAACCTCATTAGGAAAACCCATTCTTGAATATGCAACAATCATTGCATTTGTTGATAAGTATTAGGTGACTCGTACTTCGTTACTTTGTCCGCCCGGTCGGGCGGACATTGCCCGGTCTGACCGGGCGGAAGAAGAAGAGGTGCCTGGCAAATTCGTTGAAGAAGCTGCTCTCGCGCGCCCGATCGGGCGAGCTTTCGCCCGACCGGGCGAGCCTTCGCCCGACCGGGCGGACATTGCCCGGTCTGACCGGGCGGAAGGGGTTTCTTGGAGTACTTCGGTTGTTGGAAAAGACGTGTTCTTGCGCCCGATCGGGCGGGCCTTCGCCCGACCGGGCGATCTGGACTTTTCAGCGGTTACGAATTTAATATTTATCATATTGTGATATTGTAACCTAAGTATATCCTAACTAGGAATCAATACTATATAAACTTCCTATTATCATTATTAGGGTTACGCTGAGAGAAACACAAGAGAGAGAATACTTTGAGTGATTAAGTTCTTCATTGTAATCTTTGTAATCTTTGTCAGTTTATAGTGAAATCATTCGATCTCGGTGCCCGTGGACGTAGCTATCACATCGATAGTGAACCACGTAAATTCTTGGTGTTGTTCTTATTGTTTGCATTGAATTTCTTTATTGTTTTCTTGTTTGTTTACGACCTTTGCTTCCGCTGTCGCACAACAATTGGTATCAGAGCTCAGGTTCAATCCTTGGAGAGTTTCTTGAAGATAACAATGGCAGGAGATTCAACAATAAGAATTGAGAAGTTTACCGGGAAAAATAGTTTCGGGCTATGGCAAATTAAGATGAAGGCTCTGTTAAAACAACAGCAGATATGGCGTCCGTTGGCTCCAAAGAGTACTACTTCGGAGTCAGGAGACGGACCGACTGACTCGCAGTTAGAAGTTATGGAAGAGAAGGCACACTCTACCATATTACTTAGTCTTGATGATCAAATCATCACGGAGGTTGCTGATCAGGAAACGGCGGCTGGATTGTGGCTGAAGCTGGAGTCATTGTATATGACTAAGTCGTTGACCAACAAATTATTACTGAAACAGCGGTTGTTTAGCCTCCGGATGCAGTCAGGTACTTCCTTACGGGAACATCTAGAAAAACTTAACTCTATTTTGCTTGATTTACGTAATTTAGATGTTAAAATTGATGATGAGGATGCTGCGTTGATTTTACTTGTATCTCTACCGTCTAGCTTTGAGAATTTTGTAGAGTCTTTTGTTGTTGGTAAGGATTCTATAACCTTAGAAGAAGTGAAGGCAGCACTTCATACTAGGGAACTCAGAATGAAAGCTACGAGTGATAATGGGGATAATGGTAGTGGGTTATTTGTTAAGTCCGGAAAGTCTAAAAAGAATAAGGGGTTTAACAAGGGGAACAATGCTGGGTCGGGTGCTGGAAACGGCAAGGATGGATCTAGTAAAACTACTACTAAAACATGTTATTACTGTAAAGAACCGGGTCACTTTAGGAATAATTGTCCGGTGAGGAAAAACAAGTCCCAGGCTGCTGTAGTTGAAGAGAAACCGAATGAGAGCTATAATTCAGAGGAAGATTTAGCATTAGTCAGTTCTGCTAGGTCTGATGATTTATCTGATAACTGGGTTCTAGATTCGGGGTGTTCGTTCCATATGTGTCCACGTCGAGATTGGTTTGATACATATGAACCTCGCAATGGGGGTATGGTTATAGTCGGTAACAATGCTCCATGTAAGGTCACAGGTATTGGTTCCATGAGGTTGAGGACTGTTGATGGGCGGAGGTTAACTTTGACTAATGTACGGCATGTTCCTGCTTTAGGAAAGAATCTGATTTCATTGGGTACCCTGGATGAATTGGGGTACAATGGTGTGTTTTCAGATGGGGAGTTGTGTATTTTCAGAGGTTCTGAGTTGGTACTTAAGGGTATCAAAAGGAACACCCTCTATGTTTTTGAGGGTGTTACACTGCCTAGTTCTGCGGTTTGCGCATCTGTATCTCACCAGGAGATGACTAAGATTTGGCACATGAGGCTTGGTCATATGGGGGAGAAGGGGATGCAGCTATTGTCCAAGAGGGGTCTTCTATCCGGGGTCAAGGTTGCCAACCTTGAATTTTGTGAGCATTGTGTGTTTGGTAAGAAACACAGGTCAAAGTTCAGCAAGAGTGCTCACATTACTGATGCAGTGCTCGATTACATCCATTCAGATTGCTGGGGTCCATCTAGAGTTGAAGGTATGGGAGGTTACCACTATTTTGTGTCATTTGTTGATGACAAGTCCCGATACACATGGCTTAGGTTGCTTAAGTCAAAGGATGAGGCCTTCAAAGTTTTCAAGCAATGGAAAGCTTTGGTGGAAAATCGACAAGGAAGGAAGATCAAGAAGCTACGAACGGACAATGGGCTAGAGTTTTGCAAAGACGAGTTTAATCAGTTCTGTGCAGATGAGGGTATAGGTCGGCATCATACTGTCAGGAAGACACCACAGCAGAACGGTGTAGCAGAACGGGTTAATCAGACACTGCTAGAGAGAGTTCGATGCATGCTCTCTAATGCAGGGCTTGGGAGGAGGTACTGGAGTGAAGCTGTGTTAACAGCTTGTTATGTCATTAATAGGGGTCCTCATTCTGGAATTGATTCCAAGATTCCGTTTGAGATCTGGAGTGGTAAGTTGCCTAATTTTTCGAATTTGAAGATTTTTGGTTGTGTTGCTTATTATCATGTTATTGAGGGTAAGCTGGATCCACGAGCCAAGAAGGGGTGTTTTGTTGGGTACGGGGATGGTGTGAAGGGGTTTAGAATTTTTTCACCTTCGGAGGGTCGGGTCATTCTTAGTAGGGATGTTACTTTCGATGAAAACACCATGTATTCAATTAAAAATGCAGAGATTTCAGATTTGAGAAGGGAAGGAGACAATTTATTACAGACAGATGGGGTACTTGAGGTACATCAGTCTACCATTGCTGATTTACCTCGGGTACAATATATTGATGATGATGCTGATGTTCCAGTGCCGGGTACTCCTGAACCTGAGATTACTCCTACTCATTCTAACTCTGGGGATGAGGTGGAGCAATCTAATCAGGGGTCATCTAGTCAACCTGACACCATTCTTGAGATGCCTAAACGAGTTATCAAGAAGCCTGTTAGATTGATTGAAGAGATGGAGGGAAGAAATTGCTGTGTTGATGCGATGACAGGTTATGCATTGAGTGTAGCTGATGATGTAGAGTCATTTGAACCTGCCACATATAAACAAGCAATTAGTTGTAGTGAGTCTGCGCAATGGCTTGCCGCAATGGGTGAAGAGATGCAGTCTCTTTACAAGAACAGAGTGTGGGAACTGGTAAAGGTACCGGAAGGGAGGAAGCTTGTGGGTTGTAAATGGATTTACAAGAAGAAAGAAGGGTTGTCGGAAACTGAGCAAATACGTTTTAAGGCTAGGCTAGTTGCTAAGGGGTTCAGTCAGGTAGAAGGGGTTGACTTTGTTGAGATATTCTCACCTGTGGTTCGACATACTTCTATCCGTGTGTTATTGTCAATTGTAGCACATTTTGATCTTGAGCTGGAGCAGTTGGATGTTAAAACGGCCTTCCTTCATGGCGATTTGGAGGAGGAGATTCTGATGAAGCAGCCCGAAGGATTCGAAGCTCCTGGAAAGGAACACTATGCCTGCAGATTGCTAAAGTCATTGTATGGACTTAAGCAATCCCCCCGACAGTGGTACAAAAGATTAAAGGAGATGCTTAACTCGGAGTTTGACATGAAAGACTTGGGTGCAGCTAGGAAGATTTTGGGTATGGAGATCTACAGGGATCGGGCTAGAGGTAAGCTTTTCTTGACTCAGAAAAGCTACATTGAAAAGATTCTGTCTCGTTTTGGGATGGAAAAATCGAAGCCTATAAGTACGCCAACTACTGTTAGTTGTAAGTTGTCTTTGTCTATGTCACCTCAATCAGAGGAGGAGTTGTCTTATATGTCTAGAGTTCCATATGCAAACGCGGTTGGTTGTTTGATGTATGCTATGGTCTGTACTAGGCCGGATATTGCGCATGCTGTTAGTGTTGTAAGCAGGTTTATGGCTCGACCTGGGAGGGAACACTGGCAAGGGGTGAAAAGGATTTTTCGCTACCTGAGAGGGACAGCTGATATTGGTCTTGTGTACGGGAATGGTAAGGAATGCTTGGTCACTGGGTACAGTGATTCTGATTATGCAGCTGATGTGGATACCAGGAGGTCTGTGACTGGTTATGTGTTCACTTTGGGTGGTTCTGTGGTTAGTTGGAAGTCTACATTGCAGTCATCAGTTACGTTGTCAACTACTGAAGCTGAGTATATGGCTTTAACTTCTGCAGCTAAGGAGTCTATTTGGCTCAAAGGCCTAGTAGGTGAACTGGGTATTGCACAGGATTTTGCTACAGTGTATTGTGATAGTCTAAGTGCGATTTGCTTAGCTAAAGATCAAGTACACCATGATCGGACGAAGCACATTGATGTCAGGTATCATTTCTTGCGTACTGACAAGAGGATTAAGGTGAAGAAGATTGGGACTGCTGACAACCCGGCTGATTTCTTCACTAAGCCTGTTCCGTTTAGCAAGTTTAAACATTGCTTAGACTTGCTAAATATTGATTACTACGTGATGTAGTAGGCCCTGAGGGGCGAAGTTGGGGAGCTCCTGGTGTAGGTGTGTTGGCATTAAGGTGGAGCTTGCCCGGGGCTTGTGATGCAGGTGGAGCATTATGAGTTGTTATACTTGGAGACGAGTATGTGATGGGTCTTGGTTGAAGACTTATCGGGATGTATGGCTTATGCATGAGTCCTGCATCGGGTTTGGCTTGAGATGTTTTTTCACTATGTCTTGATGGGGTCGTTTGCTGACTACGAGTTCTCGTCAAGGTGGAGATTGTTGATAAGTATTAGGTGACTCGTACTTCGTTACTTTGTCCGCCCGGTCGGGCGGACATTGCCCGGTCTGACCGGGCGGAAGAAGAAGAGGTGCCTGGCAAATTCGTTGAAGAAGCTGCTCTCGCGCGCCCGATCGGGCGAGCTTTCGCCCGACCGGGCGAGCCTTCGCCCGACCGGGCGGACATTGCCCGGTCTGACCGGGCGGAAGGGGTTTCTTGGAGTACTTCGGTTGTTGGAAAAGACGTGTTCTTGCGCCCGATCGGGCGGGCCTTCGCCCGACCGGGCGATCTGGACTTTTCAGCGGTTACGAATTTAATATTTATCATATTGTGATATTGTAACCTAAGTATATCCTAACTAGGAATCAATACTATATAAACTTCCTATTATCATTATTAGGGTTACGCTGAGAGAAACACAAGAGAGAGAATACTTTGAGTGATTAAGTTCTTCATTGTAATCTTTGTAATCTTTGTCAGTTTATAGTGAAATCATTCGATCTCGGTGCCCGTGGACGTAGCTATCACATCGATAGTGAACCACGTAAATTCTTGGTGTTGTTCTTATTGTTTGCATTGAATTTCTTTATTGTTTTCTTGTTTGTTTACGACCTTTGCTTCCGCTGTCGCACAACAGCATTCCAAGCATCAATGCCTCTTTGAGGCAATTTATCGAACACTTGGCGTGCAACTTTGATATCGCCAATTTGTGCATACGATGAAATGAGCTTGGTAGCTGGGTTTCTCTGATTGATCAGACCACTTGTAATGAGAAGGGCATGTATTTTTGAAAGCGTAGATTTGTCTCTGCAGGATGATAGTAAGGTTTTAAGGTGTTTAGTTAACCACATCTATTGGTTTTAAGGTTTGATCTTACGCATAACGTCCTAACAAATCTTGGTGAGATATCGTTATATACACCCGGTGCACCGTATACCGTACAGACCTTGGGTTAGTTGGGTGTACGGTGCACCCGGGTATATATAACAAATTTCAACTTTTGCGGGGGATTTATTACGTGGTACAAACCCGGGAAATTCTACATATCAAGTGACAAATTTGTAATTAGAATAAAGATAAGATATACAATTGAAATTACCATTGTTTTTAATATGAGTAGACAATTGTAAAATTCTTGATGTGTCATGAGTCTCTTGAATGTGAAGGAGATCAACTGAATGCCTTAAACTTTGTTTGAAGTTCGATTTCACACTTTAATAACTCTCATAGTAGTCCTATGTTTAAGGTTTGATTTCACACCTTGCTAATTCTCGTAGGGGTTATACTTGTTGGAAAAATACCTGTTGAAATCAAGAACAAAGACAAGCAACATGTTACAATCAATCAAGATCCGACCTCCTTCTGTTGTGTCGTGGTTTGGAACCCATCGTCTTAGAAGCGAAATACGCCACCACCGGTACAAATTCTCCAGTGACTCACGCCCCCCAAGTTTTACACAACGACCTCCGCAATTCTTGTACCCGAACTCGAAGGTTGGAATTGCTCAAGAACTGTTCAGATCTTAAAGGATAGGTTTGTGTTTTTGGTTCCGTATGAATGAATAATTAAAGAAGAAGACAATACTCGTATTTATTAGTGTCCCAAAAAAGGGAAACAAATATATATATTACCTCAATTAGAACGAATACCACTGAGATATAATACTACATCCCATTGCTACAATAATGCCATAAATGTTGTGGTACTTATGATATACAGGTAGAACGTGGTTGAGACTTTGGATAGATATGTTCTACGGGCGGTGGTCCATGCGGCCCAATCACTACAACGCCTTTGTAGATACTCATAATTATTATCCCTCCGATGGCTTAAAAATGTACCTAGCAGTTTGATCTTTCCTGTCAATACATGTAAGTTCAAATTCTACTGCCTAAAGGGAAATGAAATTATTATCATGACCCTTAAAACACCAAACCATCCAGGCACCCATTATTCTATAAACATCAAAGTCATGGAGAGTTAAGTAAGTAATTGAGTCATTTTTCATGTGATTTGAGCATACTATGTGAATGCTTTATTTTGGCAATGGTTGTAAATTATTTTCTAAATTTGTAGTAACCCATAGCCTCAAGTTCAAAAACTTACATTTTAACCACTAAGCTATTACATATTTCATGCATTCTTTCATAAATTAATATAAAATTTGAACCATGACATTAATATGATAACTCGAGCAATACTCGATCTCCAAAAAAAAAAAGTTCCTAATTGAAAAACAAGTAAATAAAATAAGGTAAGTAAAAATCAATCAAAGAGTTAGGGGATAATTAATCCAACTAATCAAAATATACCTTTAGGTAGATTCAATTGCTAGCTATAGAATGATCTTGCAAAGACTACATGCAATGGTGAATTATTACATTGCAATTTAAGAGTGATTAATGTATGTAACACTCAAATCTAGTTCTCATCACTATGATTCAAATCATAAGAAAAATAAATCAATTGCAAACAATTACGCTAATTCTAGTTCATATTCCCATGCTAAACTAATCAACATATTACCTAAACAACCATGGTTAATTTATCCAATTCATGCTAGACAATAAACTGCCAGCAATTTAATCACACAATCAACATCAATTATATCCAAATATTGTATTCAATACCTCCCTACATTCTCATCAACGACCCCCACACAACTATTATCACCCAAAGCAAAATCCGCAAAGTCATCATGTATGTCATCGATTGTATTAAGGAAAATCCAAATACCTTATTATCAATTACTAGAATTATATAGGTCACAATATGAAATGACAATTTAACTAAACGATAAACCAAGCACTCGCATTTTCGGGTACCCAAAACAGGGGTATACAATTTTGACCACTCATATGGAGTAGTTGTAGGTAAAGGTGGGCATCGTGCCGTGTCGGGCCGCCGCGGGCCGTGTCTGGCGGGCCACAGTCAACGGCGTGCCGTGCCGGTCGTGCCACCGTGCCCTTAACCTCGTGCCGTGCCATGCCGGCCATTTTCACATGCCAGCCCACGGCTTGGCACGACCCTCGTGCCTGGCGGCTTGTGCAGTGCCTGCCACGTGCCGGCCTGGCGAGCTGGCTGCGAGCTGGGCAGTTTCCAGATTTTTTTTTTTCTTTTTCTTTTTTTAATGTTTACACTATATAAATATATAATTTATATATTTATATATAAATATATAAATATACATATATATATTTATATTTATATATATATATATTAATCTAATATATATATATAAATAAAGTAGGCATTTTTGGAGAGCATTCGGCGCGCCACATAAGCAAAGGCATTATTTCGACCAATTAAAAATTAGGTTTCTATTTTATTTTAGAATTAAAAAATTCGTTTGCCACCTAAGTAAAAGTGACGAATGAGATTTAAGAATTTTGCCACGTAAGTAAAAACAACGAATATTGATTTATTAGGATTTAATTTATTTAAAAAACTAAAAGTTATCTTTTAAACTAATCATCTTTAGATATAGGATTTATATACCTACTATTATAAGATAAATTTTGATAATGTTTATGATAAGAAATAAAAATTATTCTATAATTATAAATTAAATTAAAATTTGTGATATTTACCATTATAAATTGATGTATCATATCACACCAACAAAATTTCGTATCAATACAAAACCAAACCAAGCAAATTTTGTGTCATTAATTTGTGTCAGTTTTATTAGATCATCAATGGCTGCGTAATTCTTAGCCTAATTTTTAAAACCCATGTTTAAATGTATATTTGTGATTATTGATTAAATTGTGTTTATTTAGGATACTTAATGATTATATATTTATGTTTTGTTTACTGAATTTTGTTTTTACATGCAGATCTAATTTAATCAGAGAATTAAATTCGAGCAAAAATCTTTGGAATATCAAAGTACGAATTTCTCGCTTCATAATCTTATTGGATGAGAAGGTATTATCTCTTTATAAATCGCTTACATTTATTAAATCTTTTAATGAACATTTTAGTTTTTATCAATTAATTTTATGATTAAAACAATTTTTTTGTGGTTTGGGTAGCTTAATTAAGTCATAAAATTAACTTAATTTTTTATTTTTAATTACAGGGTGATTACGTTCCATCAATTAAAGTCAACTTTGTTCTACAATTTTTTTCAAAATTGATTATTATAATTTTATTTTTATTTTTGATTTTATTCTACGAATAACGATTAGGATTTAAATTATTTTAAAAATAAAAATTATTGTCTTTTCACATTAAAGATTTTATGCTAATATGTAATCAATGATATATCATATTTACAATTTTTTTTTTAAAGATATCATATTATTGTCATATAACCAACAACAACGAATAAAATACAAAACATGCAATAAATTAAGTGGCATTATAAATAACATTAAAAAAAATTACTTTTGTAATTGGCAATATCATTTTAATTAAATTATTATTTGTTTTTTATATTGTCTGAAATTATTAAATTGTAAAATAAATCAAATAATTATAAAAAAATAAAAAATAAAAAATTAGAGTATATAGGAAAATATCTTATCTTGAGATATATGTATGACAATTCGTGCATCGCCCGGTATTATTTCAACCAATTAAAAGTTAGATTTGTATATTATTTTAGAATTAAAAAATTCACTCGCCACATAAGCAAAGTGACGAATGTTAAAATTTTTGCCACGTAGGTAAAAATGGTGAATAAGGATTTATTATTTAAATTATTTTAAAACTAAACTTATCTTTTTTAAAAGATGATCTTTTGATATTAGGATTTAAATTAAAAAATATATATAAATTATACAATTATTATATACAAACACTTTAAAATTAAATACTTGAAAAAGGAAACTATATGTTCATTTTGTTTTTAAGAAAACGTTCAATCAATTTTTCTTTTAAAAAAAAATTTAAAAGAAATATAAATTATTAATAATTAACTAATATTCTTCAATTTTTTTCAAAAAAATCAATATTCTTCAAAAAAAAAAAAAAAAAAAACAATAATATTCAATTTTTATCTTATCTAGCAACCCATGTCATGATTAGATAAAATTTTTATAGAGATTTATTTGCTACTCCACAAATATATAAGATAGGATGATATTAAAGATTTGTATACATCCTCTCAAAAATATAATTTTAATTTTTTTTCAATTGTAAATAGACAATATATACTACGTATATACTAAACAAAAAACACAAACATGTGAATATTATTTATCTACACTTTTCCATGGTGTGAATTTTTTTCAGGTCTAATTCGTTGATTAATAAAAAATATTGGAAATAATGTAAGTATATCAAGGCTTTCTGATGGTAAACAAAATAAATTGATTGTTATTCATTATTTTATAAGATGTATGTTTTGTTTTATTTTACCTAATCTAATTATGTTACTTATCGGGTATTAAAATTTGTTAAACAACTTAATTGTAACTTAATATTAATTATTCTGTATTTGAAGGGATTATGTCCATGCGCCAATTGAAAGAAATTGTTGGAAAAGTAAGGGTCTCTTCAGCTTATTTTCAGTTCAGTTCAGTTCCTAATTTCCTTCTCTTATAAAATATTCAGTTCAGTTCAGTTTCAATCAGTTCAGTTCACTTCAGTTCAGTTCAGTAAATTAGAACAGACCCTAAGTCCACTATAATGTTATAATAGTAGGGAAAAAAAAATTAAATATTGTTAGAGATGTTTTTGATAATTTTTATTTTTTGTGTATTATAGTTTCTGGTAGAATATCTATATTATTATTGTAAAAATCATTGTAGTAGTGTATATGTATAACTCTATTATTAAGACATAAGATAATGAAATTTCATTATAAAGATTTAATTTTATTCAATTAGATTAATTTTAGTAATGCAACACTCTTGGTAGTATATATATATTTCATTTAACTATTTAAAAATTTATAAAGTCATATCTTTTACTATTACTCCCACCGTCTTTATTTTAACCCTATAGTTTTGGGTTTACTCTATTAATTTTTCATTATATAAAGTTGATACGGAGTAAAAGAATAATGGTGGTCTAAGTTATTGTTTGTGAAAGAAAAATAGTAATTCTATAACTATATATGTATAGTGGAACAACGTGTTTTCGTTATACAAACGAATCATAGGTTAAAAAAATACGAATAGAATTATGATTTTATTCTAATATCTATCATACTTATAATTTTCATATAACTAATATTAGTAAATTAAGGTTGCATTATAAGTTGCATAAAAATAAAACAAATTATCCGTTTTTTAACAAGCAAAATAATAAAAAAATTATAGGGTTAAATTAAGAAAAAAATCTTTTTCATGAGATTTATGTATTAAAAACCGTGCATCGCACGGGCTTCCCATCTAGTATATATATATTAATATATATATTTAGGGTGTGCCTGGGCGGGCCGGCACAGCGGGCCAAGGGGCGGGCTCGTGCCGTGCCGTGCCGAAAAGTGCAGCTCCTGTCCGTGGCACGACCCACGGCACGCCGGCGGGCTCGTGCCGTGCCCCGTCGAAGGGCGGGCCGTGTCAGGCGGCACATGGGCCACCCCGACCCGTGCCCAACTCTAGTTGTAGGTGCTTGTTAGGTTGTCCATAAAAAGTTAAGAATAGTGAACACCTAGTCAAAAAAAAAAAAAAAAGTTTAGACCTTATATTGGATTCGAACCCATAACCACATGCTTAAAAAGTTAAAAGTCCTTCGATCATTTGGGAAGGACAAAAAGGGAGGGAGTTATAGACGAGTCATTTTTGTTAGTCGTCGAAAACATGCCGGAGAGTTCGAGGAGAGAGAAACCTCCGTCAGGATCTCCGACCAATGATCCCGGTGAAACCACCGGAATTTCCGCCGGAGAATCGCAATCTTCGCCGGAAAATCAATCGGAATCCTTTGATTCCTCCAAAATGCGAAAGACCAAGCCTGGAATCAAGCGTCTTTCCCTTACACTTTCCGTCCTTTTCTCTTTCATCTTAGGTATTTTTTCTTTCTCCTCGATTTTGTTGACTTCAATTTAATCAAATTCAGCTTTTTAACTAGTTCAATTATCTGATTGAAGTTGTAAATTAGCTAATTTAATTTCTAAATGCTAAAAAAATGCTGATTTTTCTGCTTAAAATTCACTAATGTAGTTGAATATGATTGACGCTTTTTGCTAGAACTGCTGATTGATTAGCAGTGTAATGATTTGATTGGAATAGTTTGTTTGTATTGTTAATTTGATTCTTACTGTATGAAGGATTTCCTTTTCTGCTGAAGTCTGTGGAAATTTATCGATCGCCGCTTCCATTTAAGTACATGGATTCGCTTTCTAGTGTTATTGAATCGGAACCTTTGCTCTTTCCGTGTCAATTTCAAGCAGTTTTTTTAGGTTTTAGGGATGAATTAAATGATGCGGATAAACTGGGGATTTCGATTGTGGAGCGTATGAGGGAAGTGGTGGGTAATGATCAAGCTTGTGGAAGTTGCCGGAGTAATTTTACTGTTTCAATTTCTTTGGAGACGGAGAAGGGTTGTGTGCAGAGTAATAATGGCAAGATTGGGTGCTCTTGGCAATGTGAGTTGTTGAAAGATAATGATTTTGATGCAAAGTGGAAGGATGATGAATATGTTGATGGATTGTTGGAAAATGCAGTATCAGGCAGTCAGAAATGTGCAGGTTCTAAGGGAAAGGTTTACAGCGTTGTTGTGGTGAAAAATGATGAGGAGGTCAGGGCAGTGGCAGGAAAGCATAGGCATGGATGGATCATTGGTAAGGTGTCCGAGGCAGAGGCTGTGGAGAGGATTGCTGAAATTTTTGTTAGGGTATTTATGAACGGAGGGAAAGATGAAGGCTCGATTCATGGGGAGTTTATGCCTGTTGGTGCTGATGGTCGGGTTGTACTATCTTTTAGCTTGTTAAATTCTAATCCACATGACTGGATTTATGACTGGTATTGCCTTTTTCCTCGTGGTTTGCTTCAATATAGTTTGCTAACGATCATTTCTCGCGTTTATTAGTCATGCTTTGTTGATCATTTGAATATACGCACTTGACTTGTGCCTCTTTTCTTTGGTAAAAGGGAACAGTAACTTGAAATTTTAAATTCTGAAGTTTAAAGCTGATGAGTGGACTATTAATTGTCTAGTGGTATCCTAAATGATTTAATGGTTTTTAGGTGTATTTTAATGGAGCTAACAACTCCAATATTAATAAAAGAAGTAAATTCCATAGTTGTGGTTGCACCTTTCGAGGAAATCCATTATAGGTTGATGTCCCTTGGAGTATAATTTTTACCACCTTTGGTGCTTTATCCTCGGTATTAAGGGGGGATGCTTTTTTGTATTATCCTGTAAATCTATCACTACATTTTGACATATTGAAAGATTATTTTCTCTTGTGGAGCCTTCTCTGTTGTTTCCCTTTCAACAAATGTTCAGTCATGTATACCTGAACATGTTGCAGCAGTCTTAAATTTAAGATAGTCAACTTTCTGAATAGTGTTAGGGGGAGTTTGGTTCACATGGGGTGAACGGAATGCAATCAGGAAAGAGATTGGGGGGAAAGGAAAGTGATACCCTTTGATGTAATGTGTTTTTTGGGTGTATTTTTAGTTACTCTTAAATCTTCCTCTTCTCACAAATGCTCCACCAACTTCCTCATTATTAATAAAGGACCATCGTACCAACCCCTTCCACCACTACCACTGCCGTCACCCCCTTCCCATTTTTGCTTCCGTCACCCCCTTTCTGCCACCACCACCCTCTTCTCGCCTTCACCCCTACCCTGCAGCTGCCATCTTCTCTCTCCTCTAATGTTTTCAACCCTAATAAGTAGTTTTAGAGGTCAGTTTGGAACCAAAAAACTTTAGATCTAACTTTTCTTGGTCTATTCTGACTATCTTAAACTATATTTGATAATATAAAAAGGTAAATTTTTCATTTTTATTCTTTTTTTTTTCTTTTCAAAATTTTAGGGTTGTTAATTTTTGGGAGAGTTTTGCTGGATTTTTGGTGGTGGTGGATTTTCCGGTAAAATGGAGGCTGTTGAGAGGTAGTCTTACGATGGTTTCGAGGTGGCTGGAGGGTGATTGGAAGGTGGTTAAGGTGGCGGAGGGTGGTTAGGTGGTCGGGTAGTTTAGGGTCATTGGTATGGTGGGTGGGTGTTGGAGGTGGTGGCGGTAAGGTTGTCGGCAAGGCGACTGGTGTTGTGGTGGTGGGGTTGCCGGTGGAGTGGGTCATGTAGCCTTAGGTGGTGGTGTGTTATGGTGGTCAAGGTTAGTTATGGTAGTTAGGTGAAGATGACTTTGGGGGAATGGGTCATTCCCTTGGTGGGGGTGGGGAATCCTAGAAGAAAGTTGGGTATTCAAAGGGGTAAAGGGAATGATTGAAATGGACAAACAAACAACATCAAAAGGAATTAGGGTAGTTGATTGCCTTTCCCATTCCTGAAACCCCTAAACCAAACGCCCCCTTACTGTCTACAGGTTTTTTTTCCCCTTCTGAATTTGCGGGATAAGAACGCAATCTTTCTGAAACATTGCTTAAGCAAATTGCACTTTACATCAATACATACTATTGCCAAAGTTAGTCCTGAATGGTGGAAGTTAAATTTCTCCATTTTGGTTGATGTCTTAGGCCTCTAAATATTTATTTTGATACATCAGATTATCATCACACTTTGATAAGCATTGTGATTATCTTATGGATGTATTTTCAGTTAGTGTCATGTAATGTGTTAATATACATTGTGCATGCAGGGATTTCCAGAGAGTAAATGAGATTCAACTGACTCCTATTGTTGAGGCTTTGGCACCGATAGCTAATATAAGCGTAGAAAGTCAGGTTTGGCTCTTTGTCTGTAAATTGAGACTTGTCTTGAGTTATGTTCATTCCCATTTTCTATCAAGCATGGAGATATAAGAGACAGCTTTTGCTTCATTTGGATAATGCTGACTGGACTCCTCTTTGCAGATTTTGTACCATACTCCAAAATCCTTTTCCTCTTATTGGGATTACCAAAGAGACGCCTACATTTATGACTCTAAGGACCTCCCTTTTTTTGTAAGCAGATTTATGTTCCATTTTCTTTATCTGCAAGATCTCACTTCTATAGTCATTGTGGCTAGAGATTATGTCTGTCTTTGTTTTTGTGTCATTTAATGTTTCCTAAATTTGCAGGAAACCATTAACATCTTATTTCTGTAGCATCTCTATTATAACCTTTACATGGCTACATATTCTCTCTTTTCCTCATTAATTTGTGTGTATTTTCTGCTAAAATTAAAAACCTATTAGAATCTCTTCATGCGCAACTTTCTAACCTTTTTGGCTTTTTATGAGCTGTTGTCCTAAATGTTTTGCTAACTTGGTCTCAACATATAATAGGTAAATTCAAATGAATGGCATTTGGATACTTCTATTGCGGCTGGAGGACGTTCAAAAATCCTTCACATTGTTGTGTAAACTCCTGAACTTCATAGCTGTATTATAGTTCAGTTGTATGTCAAGATTTTAATTATATTGCATATCTTATTATTTTAGCTTACTGTGGTCCAACCTCCCATCATATTTTCATGATGCTCTTAAATTACCATGTGATATATTCTTATCTGATATAGAAGTTTTGTGTTATAGAAAACAAAAACACTGATGTGTGTGGAAAACTCTCAGCTGTATACTTGTATCTTGGCTTGTGTGATTGTGTGTGTGCATTTCTCAAGCTACATGGAGGAAAACATGTGGAAGAACCTGTAAAACAGTAAATGTACTACTACAATAGATTTTTATACGATAGTACTAACTTAACATGGTTACATTGTAGGAGCTCTCATTTTAAGAGGTCTAAATCTAAGAGTACAAGATACGAAAAGTAATATCTAAACTACATGGCGTTGGGTATTATCTGTTTTACAGTTAATTGTTGCAAACACGTATCCGTGTCGGACATGGGTACCCGAGTCCAAGTAACATAGGTTTTAAGGGACTAAACCTTCATGAACATGAGGGGTTCCTGTGACCTTTGACAAACAAAATGCAATGGTGGATTCATTTCCATTAGAGCTTCAGAGCTTCCAGTTACATTTGACAAGCTAGTTGTGTGTTGGGTTCATTGGGCTTTAGTTTGTATTTATTTTTTCTAGCATAATATCTGAAATTATACCACTTTTTTTCCCTGAGTCTGTTCTGTAGTATGCAGAGTCTATTAAGAAGATTTTTTTATTCTACTTTTACTCTGGTTCTTGACTTCTTGGAGCTCATTTTTGATCCTCTGCGTGTTTCAGATACATACCATCTGCAAAGGAGTGCCCTCTTTTACTGCAACTTCCTAATGGAGAGATCTCCATGACAAATGGCTTTATATCTCCTGTAGGTTCTCATTTTCTAGTTCAATTTCTTTCTCTTTTTTCTTTCCTTTTTTGAATTAAAAACTGTTAAACACTAATCTCTTGCTTTTAGATGTGGGGAGGTGTCATTGTCTGGAACCCTTCTGGCTGTTCTGGTCATTCTGAAACTTTGCGTGAGGCTAGGCATACAATCTCCTTCAAGGTAAGAACAGCATAACCTACTGATACTGTTGAACGGCCCTCTTATTTCCCCTTCTTTTTGTGTGTTTCCATTCAAGTCTTTGTTTCTGAAGCAGTTTTCCCTCTTAATTTCTAACAATATTGTCTTTTTTGGTGATAGGATCTTGAAAATATTGTTGATGTTTTTATGGGGCAATTGCGGCAGCTTTTTGGTCTTAAGTCTGAGAGCCTTTATGCTGGTTCTTCAGGAATAGTCAATCTTCTGGCAAGTGAAAGAGGCTTCACAGAATGGTGAGGCCCCTTTAAGAAGTAATTAACCAGTAACTTACTCATTTAGAACAATTACGTATGACTGATCCAAATTTCAATTTTCGGCATAAAATTTTGGTGTGAAAAATACTACTCCATTATAGTCCGAACTTCGGTGGTCTATCTTGCTTAGAATCTTTAATTTGCATTTCGTTGTGAAATCTATTATTCTGTTCTGGTTTCTGTCAGGCAGGAATGTATAACATGTTAGATATTGCGTAAAACTAAGAACAGGCAACAATTAAGATGCTATAAAGAAAACTACTCAGCTACAGCTAGACACATCCATATAACATCCTGCAGGATATAATAACTAAGGCACTCCAAAGTCCAAACTGAAGAAAGAAAATAAAAACTAGTTGATCCTGACATGATATCGATATTAATTAGGACACAACAAAATCATTTTCATCAGAATTAAAATCTTTGTAATTTAGGATACATTTTGAAATTCTGTCGTGGTCTGTTACTTAGTCTTTTCCACAAGTGGACTGAGCTTAGTCATTTTTTTTTCAATTACTAAAATTTCTCCATCCTTTACCTTTTGACAATGTTTAGGGAATTGGATCTGTTGGCCCGGCAACATACATGCTTCAATCTTCAGTCATGTGCAACCACGCTTGGATCTCTTTCCAGATTGGTATGCTACTTGAATGTAGAATCTAGAAGTAGCATAAAAATGTTTGGAATATTTTTGAAATTCACTTTTTGACCGATTTTACACCGTAACATTATGTTGGTGCTTATGGGCATATTAAAAATATCTCAAAATACGCCACATCATAAATAAAACCAAGCAAATGATAAACCACACCTTTCCTTCTTCCATATCCCTTTGGTGAGAATTATATCTTTTGTGAGGGTTCTTTACTTTACTGTAATATCTAATTTGTGATGAAATTCCATTTTTTTTGCTGGGTGGTATATCTAAATGATTTACAGAATTGTGGTTATCTTTAATAATTAATACCTATTAAGGAATGAGAATCTTGGATTTCATTGTTTTTGTAAAGACGGCAAAGTAAATCAACATTGGTTTCCCTACCCTGTTTCTGATATTTAAAGTAAATACTGAAAATTTCAATTATGCCACAAAACTCTAAAGTCTAAACTGAAAAACCAACAGAATGTTAGTATATAAACTGGTCCAGAATAAAAGGGTACCATATGAATTTCATTTATTTTTCAACCAACTGAATTTTCAAAACTAACTACAGAATTTTCATATAAATCTTCCCATTGTTTTTACTTCTTGCATGTAGTAAGATCTTCAGAGTTCGGACTTCAGTTAATGTAAATTTATTTTTCTTGTAGGTTCAATCACTGCCAAGGATGATCATAAAGGATGAAATAGGAAAACAGGTCAGTTGCCAATTTGAAGGCCTGTCATTGATCCTTACTTTTTTGGTTGCATTTGTATTAGCTGGAAATTATGAGATTTGATCAAGAAGTTTCTCCCCTAAAACTCAAAGATTACTAGTTCTGTATCCATGTAAACCAAACATGTTTCAAGTTCAAATCCAATTAACAGTTTCATTTTGAGGGAGTTGTGGGTGTATCTGATTTTCTAGGTTCATTTTATACCCTGAAGCTTGATGTAGGCATTAATTGGGTGTGAGACCGCTAAGAGTATTATTTCATTGATCTTGGGCTCCACTCCTGGTGATCATTTTTCCTTTTACTGTTGGGATTTTATCTTTGCTCTGCAAAAGGGTCAACTAGCTTCAGAGTTGTCTCATCTCATAACACCCTTTAGACGCAATGTGTTCCCACAAATTTTTTAGCACGGGATAAACAAGGAGACAAACTAATGAAATTCCCTGAGGCCTGTCACTTCTAGCTAGATCTGCTAGAATATGAGTCTTTTGGACACCTAAGATACTAGACATCACACTTCACACTTGTTTAAACTTCGTATGGCATTGATCACTTGGGAAGTAGACTTGAGTCAATGAACTTGTGCTTAAAAGCTGTCTTCTCATTCTATTCTTGTCTTCCTTGCAAAATGGCTGGTCCCAAAGAATTATTTGTAGCAAACTTCCACATTTGTTTAATATATTTGAATGTTCCACATCCTGGCAACACCATTTTGGCCCACTAGCCTGTCACTAAATGTCGTCATGGAGTTCACTAGAGCACAATCCTGACTAAGGTAGTCACCTTAATCTACATCATGGAAGGATATATGAAAGCTGCCTGTGTTTACTATAAGTCTGACAGAAGACACTTGGCAGCAATAGAGAGCTTTAATGTTTCCCATACGCCATTTTTCACATGACTGCCTTGTTTAAATTGATTGGATTTCTGTCTCAGACTATTGTCTTTCATTACTTAAAAGTTATTTCTCGACTGTGGAGGGATAGAATATGTGCTAAGGACATGACATGACACGACACTCATATACTTTCAGTTTTTCTTTCCCTTTATCAAAATCCTTGTGTTTTACTAACTTTTTGATGTCACTCATATTTTATAACTCTTTCTTTTTCCAAACCTTTCCATTTATTCTCTTTACAATATTAAGGCCTGCATTTTAGCATTAAAAGTATTTCCTAAAAACTCCGCATAAGTTTGGGGATTTATGACGAATACATGCACCAATTGCTGTAATTTATGATTAGTTATTCTTAATACCTTCCTTTATAGGTTATTATATGCAACCCTTAGGGATGCAATACCCTACTTTTTGAGTTTCATTTGTCATGCTTGGTATTTCTTTTCTTTAACTCACGGTTTCTCTTGTCTGACTTGCCCTATTTCAGTCTTTCGCTTTTGCACTCTACTTAGTTTACTTTCTAAACTGAATTTTCCTGCTCCACTTTTCACAGACGATTTCAAATGACTATTCATGTTAGCCATCCCCACATCCTTTTGGGATTAAGGCTTTGTTGTTGCTATTTATGTTGTGGTGTTTCCGAGTCCTATGAAGGATCTTTATAAAAAAGGAGTTTTTTAATTTTTTTTTTTTTTAAATATAAAGAATCTGTGTTCAAGGTAAATCATTTTTGGGGATTTGGGGTTATACAACATTTTAGTATATCATAGATAATTTGACCAGTTCTTATGTGTTGAATCTTTTGAGAGCCATCTCACAATGTCATTCCAAGGTACAACTACTTTTTTCTATGTGCTAGCTACACACAGGCACACCCGTACTCACGTGTACATACATGCACACTCACACAGATATATGTACGCACACACACATATATTTACATATAAATATCAGAGGTTATCATTTTGTGCAGGTACAATACTCTCTTCATGCTGCAAATTTTGCGCGAAGCAATGCTACTCTTGGTGCCTATGATGATTCTGCTGGTATTTCCGTTTAGAATGTGACTTTTGTTTGACTACCTTGTACTTCTCAGATATGTGTTGTGCTAACAAATATGTACATCCTCACTATCAGTGTTGTCACGGCAAGCAAGATCTTTGGCCGAAGATGCCTTTTTTCATCCTTCTATCATGTCTGTGAGCTATTACTCATTTGAGCACTGCTTTGCAGTCTACTCGGTTAGTCACTTAACTTTGTTTTATTTACAATGTTTATGAGATCTAAATATAACAAAAATAGATGGTGAAAGATGTGGCATGGTGCCCTGTCTTCAAAGTTGGAAGTCCTTGCACATCTGCTAGACTTTCAGGGCATTTTAGGTAAAGACACTAGATCATTTTATTCAATGCTGCTTGTGAAGTTGAGGAGTAGGTGGTGTGATATGCTTGATGCAATCCTACATGTCTGTCTCATTTGGACTTTTGTTGTATGACTTGTATCAGATCAGAATTTGCTTAGACCTCATTTGCTGGTCATTTTCCTGTTACACTTGGTTGCATGGAAGCATTCTTGCACATCTGATCCTTTAGATTAGACCTGTAGTCAATTAGAAATGTGTTTTTCCCATGTTCAAAATTGAATATTGAATTGATATTTTTCTGGAATATGGCCAGATAAAAAATGCTGGATTGTATTGAGGATCGTTTGTAGCTTAAGAGTACAATTTGCAAGCTATAGTAGAATTCTATTATTGAACCAGAAACAACTGTAGTAGTTAACGGAAGGTTGTTTGGTACCATATACTGAAATCTTCATGTGTCTTCACTATGACAGCCCTTCTTCCTACCAGTAGCACTGCATGTTCTCCTTGCAGCTTTCAAGGAATGGAAACGATACAAGCAAGAAAAGCTGAAGTACTTGACATGGAAAGCGAAAGAAGTTGCATCTTAAACCTCAAGAATGAGCAGAATGTAGACTCAACTGCTCCCAGAAAACTGTGATGAGCAGAAAAATTGCCCATTGCTTCGTTCATGGAATTTTTGAAGCCCTCTTTTGAGCCTTGTTGTGCAATGGGTTGGAAAAGGCTCGTATGCCACTTTTCTGAGCACTGAGGCGAAGTAGAAATATTGGAGCTTACTCCCTTTTCAATCATCATGGTTGCTCCCAGATCTGAGGACATCCTGCTTCTGACAGTTTAATTTATTTGTCGTGATGGCATGCTAAGCTAACTAGTTTTGTAGAAGAGTTAAGGAAACAAAGGGTAAGTAGTGTTTTTTTTCTACAAATGTTAAATTAAAGAATTCTGAAAGAACTTGGGCAAGCTGTATTTTTTGTAGAAACTTCATGTTTATTACTTACTGGCCCAAGGATCTGTCTGTTTTTTTTCTTTTTTTTTTTTTTTTTTTTTGCAGCTAATCAAATGGTAGTTAGTTTATTTATTACGGTGTTTTTTGCATCCTTGTATTCCAAAAAAAATTTCTTTGTTAAAAAAACAATGATTTTTGACTCATTGAACCAACTCAAATTTTACAATTTGCGTGACAAGAAAATAAATCTTAGCACGCCCTCTCACTCGGCAATATTCATAGTCCAGCAGAAAAGCATGCCTCAAACATCATATGCTTTTATACAACATGGTCGCACCAAAGATGTGCCCCACAATCTTATACAGTTATCATACATGATTGCACCAAAGACAGGTATCACAGCGCAGCTGACAATTACAGGTGAAGACATGAGGGGGATACAAAAATTATCTTCCCACTCCAGGTTTTTCCTCATGCACACACACGGATGTACAATGGTCCAGATGCACCTAATTTATGTTAGCAAGGCATTAAACTGAGTCTAATGGATATTTGGCATGAACACTATTCGGCACGAACACTTTTATTCCTTTAAAAGACGATAACCATTGAGAAACATACTTGGTTAAAACCTCCTTAATATCATTCTTAAGAAACCACATGCTACATCTCATCCCACAAAAGATTTCAATTCTTTTGGTGATTACATACAGTTTAAGCAAAGTGAAGTGGTCAAATACTTTATGCAAATGATTAATCAGAACAGAAGAGAACCATAAATCGTGAGAAACCTACACATTTGACGGGGGGGGAAAAATCCAACTAAAATAAGTTGAAGTAACATTACAGACAAATCCCTGAATTAGTTTCAACCTACCCTTCCTACAATATAACCTAAATCAAAACGAAGCTCCCTGGTGCCCTAACGCTTCTTCAATACAAACCAATTTGTCAAAATTAAAATGTAAACATTCAGACAGCAGGCATATATATATACCAAGTAAAACACAGGGCCACCAACAGTGGACTGCAGAGATGGGATTGGCAACAAAGCTGACAGAAAGAAAAATAACAATCAGCTTTACTCCCCATCTTAACCCCTTGAACTCAATGCCAATAATATCTTCTTTCTGGGACCCTGAAACAAACAAGAGAGAGCATCAATTTCACAGGCTTTATTTATATATGGGCTTTGTTTTGTGTATAAAAGTGGAGCAGCAAAGGAATACAACAGCTAGAGTTTGTTAGCACACAGGATCAGTGCAATATTATGACTGTTTCAGTATGGTAAAGTAACAATAATAAGACTCCGGTCACTCCAAAATAAAAGCATCAAAATTGACCTATATATAGCACCACCACTCTCCTAATTCTCACTCTTCTATCTTAATTCCCTGTAAACCTAAGGGAAACAAGAAAACTTAATGGAAGTGTCTCCTCAGGTAGTTCTTTTCCTCTCTCTCTCCTAAAATCTGAACACAAGATTATTGGGAAGAAAGTTAAACATGTCATTAATTATAATAAAGTGTTTCTTAGCAGATAGGAGTTCCTAGTTGAGCTTGGTTTTCATTCCCAACAATCCCAAGGAACATCCATTAATTCAAGTACTTTGACCTTTCAATATGAGGCAGAAGGCAGCAGAGAAAAGGTTAAACTATATCTCAGAGAACAGGAAAATGAAATCTGCAATAAACCTTGGGAGAACCAGATTTGCTCTAAGTACACGTTCGTCAATAAGTTAAAAATTATGGAGTGTAAAGATAGATTATAGCTTGTATACAACATTCAAAAGTTTTGAGTTTTATTTCGTCAACAAGCAACTATCCAAAAATAGGCATAATTTCTATCCATCCCTAACCCACAACCAAATCTATATAATGTACGAGAGACTTATTGGAAATGAAAATAGGTACAACTTAACAATATGCTCTCCTTGTCCCATAATATAGTGCTCATTCCACATGGTCAAACTTAAAAAACTTAAACTAAAAATTATATATACAAAAATATAGTCAAATGAGATATTGTATGATTCGTACAGATATATAGTTTTATGATATCAAATTCTTATTTATTTTAATAAAAAAAAAAAAAGATATTGATGGTCAACTGTAGGTCTCGAAGACCGTGCAAACAAATTCATGTACTATATTATGGGACGAAGGAAGTATAATAATATACTCCATAAAGCGGTGAAAAAAAAAAACCCGAGTAACAATAAAAATTGTTTTTGATAATTAATGTTACTACTACAAATTTAGTGGGCATTTGGTTCAATAAAAGGAAAGAGTTTAAGAAAGGGAAAGGAGGAGAATGAAAAACTACTCCCATTAATATAGTATGTTATTTGGCATTCAAAATCTCTTCCTTCCCCCACCATTCTACCCCACATTGACAATCACTCATGGTTGTTGCCATCAGACCATCACCACCACCCCCCTTCTTGCTCAATGTATAAAAAGGCTCTAGGTGAAATGAGGCGATGAAGGTCCAGTTGTGCCTAGGCACGACCAAGATACAACTCTTTGAAGTAAGGAGCACAATATTAAACATTTAATGAAAACTGCTTATGTGCGCATCTTTGCCTCTGTAAATAAGCCTCCCCCACGCTCTACCCTAATCGCCTAGTGCCTCAGCACCAAGGCACGCCTTTATATACAGTCCTTGCCACCACACCCCCGCCCTTGCAGTTGCGTCACTGTCGACGCCATCACCCTTTCTCTCGTCCTTCTTAAATTATTGATTTCCACCACCACAGTTATATTGAAGTTTTAAAGGTTATATTCGAGCAAAAATACTCTAGTAACCTTTAAAAGCCACTATTGATGATATAAAAAAGGGTTTTTTTTTCCATTTTTTTTCTCTTAATTTTTTCCCTAATTGTTAGGGCTATGGGCTTTTGGGTGGATGTTGGTGGTTATGTATGGTAGGGTTTTTTTCCTAGGTGAATAGGTGGTTTCAAGTGGGTTTTGAGTGTTGTTGAAGGTGGTGGTTCTGGGGAAGTACAGGTAAGAATGCTGGTGGGGCAGTGGTGGGGCGGTGACGGTTTGGGTGGTAGTGGTGGTGTTGGTTGGTGTGGAGGTAATGGGAAATCAAAGTAGAGGAGTTTGGGGGGGTCTGAAGAGGATAAAGGGAATAATTAAACTGACATTACAAACAACAAAGGGGATCAAGCTATCTTATTCCTTTTCTCTTTTCTTATTACCCTACACCAAACGCCCCTTTATAGAAATAAGGGACCACAAAAGTTAATCACAATTTTTCTTACAGGTTATGATGATTAATACACCATAATTACAGTAACTGATTGTGACTAATGTGTATAAAACTATGAATTACGCAAATAAATACACACCAATCCCAAAATTATCTTTACGAGAGGGTTTCACGCAGAGATTACAGAGATTAAGGGTAGTAGTGAAGCAAAGGAAAATTTGGAAGTGAGAAAAGAGAGCAAATAAAAAAAATAAAGTGTTAAGAAAGAGAGAAGAATAATAGGAACACATAAAATAAAGAGTAAATGCTGTTTTCAACCCAAAACGAATATGTAAAGTAAGTATAGGGACAGCCTAACAAGATAAGTATATAAAATTCTGGGACAAGCCAAACAAAAAATATGAAGAACATTCAGGGATGAAGAGAGTTTAAAAGACGAAACAGAAGTAGCAAAAAGAACAGAAGACCAGTAGCAATGCACACTGAAAATCAAAGACCTCCAAGAAAAGGGAGGGGGGATGTCCTTGTTCCACTCCTAAAGGTAGTGTTCAAATAACGGCCATGGCCCTAGCAGTAACAATCAACGGTAAAATTACTAAAATCACCTGGGAATGGCATTCAATCCAAGCACCCCTCATCACAATAGCCACAACCAGCTCTAAGATGAAATTACCCCACTGTTGGCCTGTTGCTAGTATGTTTTTCAATACCAAACAACTAAATTATAAGAAATCAACAAAAATTGCCCCATTGTTGCTAGTATGTTTCTCAATACAATGAAATTGCCTTTGATATGACATGGGAAGAAAAATAGGAAGAATGATAGCAAGAAGAGGGCTATAAGTACAACATTTTTTAGCATGAATTAGCAGAAAATAATCTCTCTCAGGCATTATTATGTCACGCCGTCACTACGAAATGAAAATGGGAATTAAAGGTATCCATTATTGAAAGTTTAATAAACATTGTTACGTCACGCCATCACTACGGAAAGAAAATGGCCATTAAAGGTATCCATTACGGGTTAACATCTCAATATTCATTTCAAATCTTACCATTGGTATTCCTATTGCCTTAAGATCCTCGTCGGTCATGTGCTCAAGTGCTGTCATGTCAACCTAACAAAGAAAAAACAAAAAAAAAAAAAAAAAAAAAAGCTAAGTTAGCCACAAAGAGTCCTCAAAAAGTAAAAGGTCCACAATCACATGCATGTGTAGCTTACTTCCTCTGCCTGAAATGTAATAAGATACTTTTCAAGACCCAAGGACTGAAGAAACCCATCAACTGATGCATCAGCCTGAAAGAAATACAAATATCAATCAAGAGAATGAAAATAACAATTCTCATTAAAAAGAAAATATTCTCCCTAACAGCAAAGCAGTAGGCAAATGACCTAAAAACAGTAAAGCAGTTGTTTACCAAAAAAAAAAAAAAAAAAAAAAAAAAAAAAAACAGGTACCTTAAACCCAATATTAATAGAAAGATAAATGATGATTAATTGTGATTACCCTCATATAATCAAATAAAATTGTTAAAAGGAATAATTTTAAGCAGTGCACATATGAAGTCCATTAGGGAAAGATTGTAGACCTTCTGCTGAGTTTTCTTCCTCGAAGTCGGGTTTGAGACTTTTTTAGGCTCCGCTACAGGTGTGGCAACAATGACACTTCTTCTAGCAGGTTTAACAGCCTCGTGTTCAGGTTTAGGCTTCTGGGAATCCTTATTTACTGGCTGAGAATGCATTGAGCCAGACAACTTTTCACGAAGATCTCGAACACCTCCACCTTGGGTTTCTTGCTGGCTGCTCCTCCTCTGAAGCTTCAGACGAAGATCACCTCCACCAAGCTTGCGCGCTTCAAAGCCAATTGATAGTGTCAATCCCAATGTCGTCTATAAAACAAAAAGGAAACTTAGTACTATTTAAATGTCTCAGCTGATCCATACATAATTGAGGTCGCTCATCTTGGAAAAGATCATGTTCCCATTTGTCATCCTGCCTTTGCCTGCAAATATGGACAAAAACTTTCAGGGAAACACTCACTAATAATACGTTAATGCTAATATTACATGCAAAATGGCATGCCATACATTAAGACCAACAGCATAACTGAACGAGTCCTCATCATCCATGCCATATATATATACATAAATGTAGACAAAATATCAGTAATTCATCAGAGTTCTGTTCAAAGCATAGGTGCAGTAAAATTATAATTTAACACATGGGGCAATTTAGTAACATTATATACTTCTGTTACAAATTACTTAGCTAAGCACACAACAGTTCTCTGATGCACATAATCCACATCTTCATTCTTGGATCCATAAATTGGTTGAAACCTTAACTACAGCTGCAAGGTAAGAGAAATGCCAAGGAAGTCTTCAGTTCTGTTTTTGCCAACAAAAATTTTCTTTTACATCTACAAGACAAGTGACAAGATGAATGGATCAGGTGCTTCTTAAACTTACTAAGATAAGTGCTTTTTAATCAATAGAAAGAAGATAGAGAACTCATTATCAGGTTGCGGCACATGATAAAAAGATACCACAAGCATGCTAACAAAGTGTACAAGACACTAGGGTTATCCAGTAAAAGTTGATCCCAAGGGCAAAGGGTCAAGAATTTAAAGTCCACACAATCCACAGACTGCATCAATGGAAAAAAAATAATAATAAAAATAAAAATAAAATAAAATAAACCTCACAGTATGTTTGGAATCTGAGGATGGAGGAACAGGAAGATGAAAATAGTAACGGATCAAATTTCCCTTATCAGGAGGGATTAAGTAAGACCAGAAAGGGGATGGGGTGGATAAGGGGATCCTTCTGAGCTTAAAAATTCGGTACAATTGAGACAATAAAGATAGTTATCCCAGTGGAACCCAATGGATCAACCTAACCATGACAATGAAAAGTCTCAAAGTGACAACCTTCGACTTTATTCCTCCATTTTCTGTATATCAAAAGAAAAAACAATAAACAATTCCCTCCCCTCCCCTCTCTTTTGCTTCCCATCTATATTATTATTACTAATGAGAAAGTATGTAATTACTCTTATAAAATGGAAATTAGACACTTCTCAAGAGCATATAGTCACCAGTTCTGCCAGCAATAGCTCTCCACCAAATTTCTCTTAATTAATCATCAGAGCCTTAAATTAATGGTATTAAACACAGCAGTACCACAAGAATATCTGTCACCAAAAACTGTTTGCCACTACCAACGCCCACTGTCACTATCACTCATGCATGGAAGCAATATTGAACCCTAAAATCACAATCCTTATTGAAGTTACAATAGGAGTAACATGCAAAGATGAACAAGAGGCATCATCCAAGTTGGTATTTCTGTGCTCAAAAAATAGATAGAAAGAGAAGCTGTGGCTTTCAAGATCATGTTAAGAGGTAAAGCAACTGATAAACTCTGTTTAAAGGCAACATTTTGAAGCAAAACCAGGACATCAAGCTTCAAAGTAAACCTCTAACATAGCAAATAAAAAGAACGAATATCAGCTCAAAAGTTTTTTAAGTTACAAAGACAGATTGAAGAAGAAATAATAAAGGAGGGTTTAGAGTTTAGACATAATCATTATGTTTGAAAGGCTTCGCATGTATCAAGCCCAAGAGCGAAGACCCAAAAAACCCTGTATTCCTGTACTTACTCCAATTACATAACATTCAAATTTCAGTCCATTACCATAGACAGCGTAATATTTTATGCATTTACATTAATTATTCTTCTGAACCTCCACCAATGGTTCATTCCCTAAATAAGGTAAAATATGAAGAAGACTTGTAGTCTTAATGGTTCCAAAGAACAACATAACCTTTCCTCATATGCCTTCAAATCTAGAACATACTAACTGAGATAAACTAACCGGAAAAAAAGGGGGAGCAAAGATGCAACAAACAACAAAAGTATAGAAAGAGACAAGAGTCCATTAGATCCTACAAAGAGTCCACCAAATTTCTAAATTATTGAAACCTATCTTTAGTGAAAAGGGTGGAAATACCAAATCATCACAAGAGAGTAAATCATCACTCTAGAGTCAAATGATCTAGACTATAAATCTTCAAGTTTACGCGATACTAGGAATCCACCAAATTTCTTTTCCTATGCTATTTATTTTTAGGAAAGATAAGCGGATCAAACAAATTTTGGTTTCCTATTTAACAGCCAATAATCTACAAGGGAAGGTAAAGGATCCTTTATCTCCCAGAAGCAAGCCTAGATGAGTTGGAGAATTCTTGAAAGCAGCAAAGGCAAAAAACATGACTTTTTCAGTACTATATTAAATGTCACCATCCCTAGTCCCAAAAGTACCAGTCTATATATTGACAAATAAAGACCATAAGCAGTATTAAATTACGGGAGAAAAAAAAAATCCAACACTAGATTCCATGAACAATCTCTATGACCTAAAAAGGGTGGGAATCAACATTTTTAGAAAAAAAAGTAAAAAAAATAAATAACCAGAAGAAATTCATTGTCAAGAGTATCTGACTATGACATAATTAGTTAAGGAAAAGAGGGTAACTTATATAAGACAGCTTCTACAGTTAACAGTTTAAGAGAATATTTTAGTGGAGCCGAACCATAAGTGATGATGGGAGGATCAAGATGTTAAAAAAGAGTTCAATATCATATACAATTTCATATAGCACCAGTTACCAATTTGCTATCCCCTTAACATACTTACATACAATTGAAGAAAGAAGATGTAATTGTAGCACTACGGATCCAAGAAAGAGCACAACCGTAGCAGAAATTCACGACCTAACAAAAGAAGTAAACCTGAAGTGTTGCGAAAGACTTGGATAGGAAACAAAGAGGAATACACCATTTTTTTAGCATGACAACCATCAAACCAGAGACCAAAGCCAGGCTCGACAAAACAGGCAGCAATTAGAGAGAGTCAATCCAGTGTTCAGAAAAGCAGGTGCCCTAACGAAGTTCGTATCCTACATTTCACACACCCTTCACTCACTTTCTAGTCCTCAAATACAGTCGGCAACTCAGCACCCTCAAACCTCTGAAAAACAGAAAACAAATTCTCATACAAACGAGAAAGACAAAAGGACTGCTAGCCATGTCCTACACTCCCATATACACAGATTAAAGCTATGATTCAGTCATCTATCCTCCGGCACCGACATTCTCGGTAGAGATTATCCCAACTTAGCCTGTGTAATCCAGAATGAGCAATCAATCCATACCTTCCTCAATCCCCTAACCAAAAGCCTCGAATTCTATTCACCTTTCGAAACCGCTCGCTCAAATTCATGCATTCCTAAATACTCGTACTAATCGCCGCCAAATAAATCGAATTTTCTATTCACAATTATACGCCATAACTACAATATTCACCAATTCAGCAAATTGAACTAAGCTTAATGCAAAAGAATTTCAAAAAAAAAAAAAAATCATGATTATTACAGATAAATCATAGATTACCTCGCAGAAAAAACAAAAAACCAACCTTTTTCCGGTGACAGTTCGCCGGCGAATAGAATTACTGGCGACGGAGCCATTAAGCCTTTCTGTGATTGACGCCTTGGAATCTCCCTCCAATTTATCAGCATACATCTTCTCGAGAATCGCAGATGATGTCGGAGTTCGAAAACCCTAACCCTAGATTTTCTGGGAGTTTTGGTGGAGCGAGGTTAGTGACAGGATACTGGAGATTCGAGTTTATTAGAGAGAGAAACAAAGAGAAAAAGTGAGAGGGGAATTTAAACAGCCGAGATATTTTTCTGAGCGAACGATTTTGCTGGGCTCGTGATTAAGGGAAGAAAATTAGGCTACAAAGATGTGGGAGATTGGGGTGGAATGTAAAAACTCCACCTCGTTTGGCGGTTGGTTATTGGTTCTTAGCAATTAAATTTAATGGGTTAATTGGTTGTTTGAATCAACTTGTCTAGTGTCGTTGTAACGACTATAGTCTGATTTTGACTTTATTTTTAGTATGATACAGAGTAAAACTAACAGTTGATTATTGAATGGTGGTTGCAGACGGATAAAGAGGAAAGGGATGGTCAGCCGTCGGTGGAGGTAGGTCGTCGGAGGTGGGGGATCTAGGCGGTGGGTCCGATAGGGGAGGGGGTTGCTGCCAAGGGGGAAGGGGAGGGGGTGATTGGTTGGTTGGTGGTTGGGGTGGTGGTTTTTCCTTTATATATTGTATATTATAAATTAAATCTAATTATTTAGTAATGTGGTGGGTTAAAGGTTAATTAGAATAAATGGGAGGAAATTAAAGTTAATTAAGGTAATAGGTTTCTGTAAAAAAAAATTAAGGAAATAAGTTTCCTCTCGAAAAAAAAGTGAATGTGGTGGTTATTTTTAACCAAAAAGCTTTTAAAAAGATTTTTTTTTTCGCATAATGGTGCTTTTAAAAGATTTTGTATGACAAATTTTCCATAGAAATTAAAGATATTGTTACATTTTATTTTATAAACAAAGTACGTAATTATGAAAATGAATGATTAAGTATTTTTTTTTTAATGGAATAGGGAGGGGTGATTTCATTAAATAATAAAAGTCATTCGACACTTACAATCATCCCTTAAGAGATCTAAATTCTCAATACAAGTATTTAACACCTCTAAACTAATGGAATCGCTTCTTAACTGCTCCTGAATAATTTTAGATGTCTTTGCATCGTTCTTGACAAAGCTTCATTGATGTATAGTCGCGAAAGTGATAAAACTTGATTGATCATCAAGATCGGCAAATTTGCAAGACGAATCTTCTAAATCTGCACCCTAAACCAACAGACCCGCAATTCCACAAATTTGCAAGACGAATCTTCCAAACTTGTATTCCCGCACACACGAAAAAACAAACGAACAATACTAAAAATCCCACCATTAGGAAACTCACTAAATCCTGCATAGAGGAACTGACTATAATCACCATACTGTTGGTGATCTTTATGGGCTAAAAACATTAAATTAAAGAAGAATTTGGGGCTTACCATCGATAAAATCGATAATAGCCCCTAAATTTTACTATGGTGACTAGATTTGAGAAGAGAGAATTTTTTAGAGTTTTTTTATTTTATTTGCTTAGTTATTTTAATGATTAAGTATTTGTAACTAATTAGTTATTATTGGGTTTTTCTAACGCATACCATGGGACAAAATAAAAACCTGTAAGATTCCTTATTCACATAATTATTCTAATGATGCTGTTAGGAAACAACTCAAACCGAAGGCTATTTTTCTATTCCCTTTTCACTCATCTTTTTAACAATACAGAGATATAAATCTATTTAGGCGTGTTATGTGGCTTTTATGGCTATACTTGTGACGTCCATGGTGGCTTACATTTTGTTTTTCATTACTTGTTATGAGACTCAAATAGGCAGATGCAGTAAAATGCAATAAACATTATTATATAACAACGATAGCTTAAGTTCAGTTTGGCCTCTAAAAATCTGTTCGTTGTTAGAAAATATTATAACTATATATTAATTAGGCAGTATCACTTGGTAGTTGATAATTTACTAGGGTGGTAGTTGTTAATTTATTGTACTAAAACCTTCCCTATAAATGTTGCTGTAAATGGGTAAATAAAAGAGATACAGAAAATTAAAAACCAAAACTGTCTTTAAATTTTAACATGGTATCAGAGCAGGCTCACGATATGGGATCCTAAATGGCTAAAGTCCATTGGGCCAAAAATAGGTTCATGTGAGGGGGAGTGAAAAAACACTCTACAAATCACATGAAACAAAGTTCAAAAAAAAAAGGGACCTTACATGTGAGGGGGAGTGTTGAAGAATAGACATCCCAAATATCACCACATGTAAGTGTCCCATATTGGTTGAAGAAGAGAGAGTTAATCACTTTATAAGGCTAAGAGACTACTCCTCTTATTGCCATATGGTTTTGGGATGGAACCTCCTTTGGACTTGTGAAGTGGACTCTCTCTCTCTTGACTTGCGGGTGTGGCCCAAACCCGTGTTTAACATTCGCTGACATTTAATGGGAACAAAACTGATCAGTCTGAATTGAATTCCAGCAAAATTACAACACTGGAGGCAGATTTTCGTCTGCTGAGTTTTGCAGAGGGGAGGGTTAACATTAAAAAGATGGGGTAAAGAATGCCTATAACATACCACAAAGATCGCTACACACCTGGGTCCCAAAAAAGAATAAAGGAAAAAGAAAATCTAGCTAGCCATAACAGCCTGATCTGTCAACTGCAGAGCTTGTGTACCTGACATCAACATCTGGGTCTTCACTTAGCTCAATTAAACAAGGCTTAATTAGTTTTCTCAACCACCTGAAAAAAGGAAGTTAGTGTAAGAACTCAACGCATTTCAAAGTAGCTTTGCAGCAAATGACTTGTTGGTGGATTGTTTGGGGATGATGAAAGCAAAATATATGGAAGCACGCACAAATCTTTGGGTTGCTAAAAATATGGGCCTTTATTATTATTTCCCTCTACATCAGAAAGGATAGGAGGCCAGTGAGAAAGTTATCACCAATTAGATAAGCTAACTAGCTATGCTGCTTAGACTTGAAGGAAGATCTTATATAACGCGGAATCAAATAGATGATGTGACTAGCTGACTGCTACATTTACAACAATGACTATCAACCTTGCCATATAATCATGAGCATTTTCAATTCTTAAAATGATTGAGCCTTTTTACCCTCTGCATTGAGGGAGGGGTCGCTGAGGAAGTTGTCATCAACTTGATGAGTCAATCAGCGAATTTGCTCAGACTTGGGAAGAAGGATCATATACAACATGGAATAGCATAATAGGAATATGGAATAGCAAAACAAGATCCCAAAATCAAACTGCGCCGTCCACTGCGTCAATATGGCACAGCATTACGCCATTAACCCTAATTATGTTAGTGAAAGTGAGAAAAGATATACTTTTTAACCTAGCAAACCCAATCCATAAATAAACTGCAATCAGAAAGACCTTTCTGTCCAATGATATACAGCGCATCTAGTAGACTAGTACATAAATACTCAAAAGAGCAAATAATTTTTACTTCTGCTGCCCTTTAGTCCTTGAATATGGAAGTATATTCAAACAACTAACACAACAAATCACACTATATTTAACTGAAAATCTTACAGTACCCTTTCTTCCTGAATGGAAGATAGGGTGAGAAGCAGAAGCCAAACAGAAATTTTAATTACCAAAGAACATTATTTTCCAGAGAAGAAATTACTTACTGATTGATCAACTATGGGAATGAGCGACTGCAACACTTTTGCAACATTAAACTTTATGTTTGGTACCCTGAAGTGTGTAAAATTCAGATTAGCAAACCGTTTGTGCATTGAAAAAAAAAAAAGGCAGTCTGCTAGATAATATTTTAGATAATTAAGAGAGCAGTAAAGCAAGATACCTGTCCTTTGATGCAGTTACAACTACTGGTAACAATTTGGAACATGTAATTTCTGCACCCATGACAGGGCCAAGCAGGGAAATTGCTTGTACAATTGTCATCCGATACAGATAGTGCGGGTTCGTAGCCATGTCTAGAACCTGTTGAAAAATATTACATCACGTCGCTAAGATATTTACAACATACTTGAGTGGTCACAGGTTCACAGTGAATCATATTTCTTTTTATAATATTAGAATACTTCAAGAGACTTTCTATATACATTCCATATTCAAATAAGGTAATTAGAAATTTAGAATAATATATTTTGTCACTCATGGAGTCATGGTATTATACAGAATATCATATAAACATTATAAAATCAAATATAGATCTGCATTTACTTTTTTATAACCTTTTTTTTTTTTTTTTGAAGTCAATTTCCAGGTGCAAATTTAAGAGTGACTTTGTGTGCAGGTTTAACTTCATAACATAATGTTTCCTTCTCTTATCATCTATTTGCAGAGCAGAAAAGATAAGTGCAGGCCAGAGAAAACTCTAGCAATGACATGTAGACATACAGGAAGATAACTAAATGAGAACAGCACTTTAAAACTTAAATTTTCTTCATGAAGTCAAAAGTTAAATGTTATACCAATCAACAGAAAAAAAATAGCACATTTGTGGGATTATGTGTTGCATTGCCCATTCTGGGCCAAATTCTTCAGCAAGGCGCTTAACATTATTTGCTGCAGCATCACGAATTGAATAGACCTGAAAAGCAAATGCCTAATGTTTCAACAAATTGAATAAAAAACAGTATCCACTCCAAGTATCATGCCATTGTATATCAATATAAAGAATTTCAGGGTCCACAATTCCCAATTTGCAAACTATTAAGGAAGCCTTTATCGGCTCATGTGATTTTATACTAGGCATTTGACTTGCATTATGTTGAGCTGTTTACATTTTTTTTTTAAATCAAAAAAAAAAAAAGAAAGAAAGAAAAGAATAAGTCATGTCAATTTTTTTTTTAAAAGGGTGCTAGTTTCACAAACCTTGTCATTCAACCACTGCATGCATAGAGCACCAAGTTTGTTATCGAAGAATCCAACGCCCAACTGACTGGCCAACAAAGGTATGTATTCAATAATGGCCAATCGAACTCTCCAATGTCTATCTTCAGCAAGCTCAACAATTGCTGGGAGTAATGACTGTGATAACAAATCTATTCCAATGACCTGCACTATGAAGCATTGTGAATTAAGTTACAAGAAAATTACGACGCATAAAAAAATCAAGGGAAAAGAAAAGCACACAGCAAAGCAAATGAGTTGAGAGAAAATGGTCTAACCAAATATAGAAACAGAAAAAACAAATAGATATATAAACGCTTTGTACAAACCTGATTCACTTGATCAAGCTTGCTGATTATGTTCAGGCGTACATCAGGAAATTCATCTTTCAGAAGAGAGAGAAAGATGGGAAGAAGCTGCTCAATTGTAGCATCCTGTGACCAGGTACAAGAAGGTCGAGTCAATTGAAGGACAATCAATGGAATTCCTATTGAATAATTAACAATAAAACAGCTCCAAAAAGCTTGCAGAATAAAAGAAAACATAAATTATATGAGGCAGATCTTAGCAACAGAATCCTGGAAGAAAAAAAAGCAAAGGAGATCAACTGAACACCATAGGAAAAACTAATAGCATATTCTCAATTGGCTTCTTTCCAAAGGCACGATCAATTAAGATAACGTATGCACAACTTTCAAGGATGAAAGGGCATTACAGCCACATCGAATTAATGAAATGAAGACAAGTAGAAAACCAATCAAACAGCAATAACCAGCAAACAAAAATTCTACAAAAATTGCCAAATCATTATCTGACTCCCAGACAGCATAAACCTTTTTGTAACAAATACATACCTCACAAATGTATAATCACCCCCTTTGTACAGCACAAATTGTGTCAGACATGAGATTGCGAGTGCACTTACCAAGGTTCATATTACACCTCATATTCAGATTAAGTAATGGATTTTCAATTAGCTAAATTCTGAGCAGATAAACTCATTTTTCTATTGTTTAGTTCATATTCTTCCAAAATTCAATTTGAATCATTTATCCATGTTTGGAACTCCAATGTAAACCTTTTACTTCTATTAGTTAGAACAAGAAAGCTAAATTCCTCTGTAAGAAGCAAATTCCAAATAGGATCCAATGGTCAGTAATTGAATTTCCCTCAATCGAGAGTAAATTGATTTGGAAGAAAGGCAACTAGTAGAGGGGTCAATTAATTCTACGATAACAAATAAATATGGTTAAATCAAATGACAGAATTTTGGTCATGAATTTATCAATTTGATAGATTGATCATGTTTAAGGTAGTTTGCTATTATCCGAATTAGTTTCAACTAGTAGATATGACCTAATTGTTAGGTTTTCTTTGAGTTTATGTTAAAAAATGAATATGGAAATTCCCCAATCTTTATCAGCAATTGTCCTAATAAGAACCCTTCAGTATATGCAGCTATATTTAACTGTGTTTGATTGGGTATGCAGCTATACACAGCTGCTGAGATGCATGTAAATGAGTTTGTATAATCATTGACCTCATCCAAGTTCATATGAAATATTTTTACTCGATATTGTGTTTTCAGATATTTGTTCACTTCTTGCAATTAATGGTGACACGTCATTTACAAAATAATACTTATGTAAAATAATATAGAGCACAAGTAAATTGATTTCTCACCTTTCCTAGAATTGGTGCCATTCCCATTATAACTGAAGCCAGAGCAGAACGAACATGCTGAGAAGAATCTGATGACAACTCCTGCATAGATAAAAGCTTGTACATCAGGAAGCTCAACAACCAATGTATAAGACACACAAGGCAACAACTTCAATTGAATAATATAAAATCATTTAAACGACCTACATTGACATCTATCCAAATATACCTTGACACATGGGAGAATATGCTGAACTGCAAGTTCGGGATTCAAGATACAGCAAAATTTGGTCACTTTCCCAGCAGCAGCTATACGTACTTCTGCTTCATTGTCACGAAGCAGCCGAACATATGCAGGCACCAATTCCGACCTAAACAGGATAATAATAACCAACAAGATATATTGAGGCAAATGATGGACATAAAAAGGATGATAGTAGCAAAATAGTCAATAGATACCTCGTAGGTTCAGGTCCAACTGCTTCACACAGCTCATAAAGTTGATTTGCAACCATATAGCGTACACGCCATGACTTATCCCGATAACATAAATTAATAAAATTGAATCACACATAATAGAAAGAATGACATTTTAACCATTTCACCCTCATAAACATATTTCATCTTAAAAAGAATACCCAATTCATGTAGAATTTGGTGTTTATCTTATGGTCAAAAAGATAAATTCAAGAGACAGATAAAGCAGCATAGATATCTGCAAGATGCTCATTGTGTTTTTTATTGAAAATAATACAGCAATTACAAATATGACATACAATAGGTGTTCATATAGGGTGTACTCAATCATGGTAGTTACTGCTTAAGACGATTTTTAATTAGGACAAACACACATACCAAGGGATAAAAACTTGTGATTTTGTGAAGTCCTCTACTATACAAGTTGACATGAATGTCGAGGCTTTCCCAAAACAATACCATTGAAATACCCTACTGTCCTTATTTAATACCAAGTGTTACTCACTTATGTGTATGTACCTAATATTATGCAATGAAAATCCCGCTAGTACCTAGAGGTGGTACATTTTGGTAATACATTGAAAACACCGGAAGTCAGAATAATTTTTCATCACTATAATCATCATTGAAAACACCGTAAGTCAGAATAATTTTTACTTGTAACCAAACTGGAAAATTATTATCAGCACAAGCTACACAAAAAATTGTCATTACCAATACCAACTACGTCTATTACAACAGCACCAAGTCAAAATTACCATTTTCATCATAGGAGAAAGAAATACACCAAAAGCTCAAACTCTATGACAGACTGCCACTCTAGTTAAGGCTGTAACAGCATAGCTATAGGAAAATTTGTGTCCCTAGATCAGAGATAGATTCGAAACACCTCAGTAATAAGATGGATTACAAGATCACAACAGTGTGGGTAGCACTGTGCAAATTTTATGGGACAACATACACAACTCCAAACTGTATCAATCGACTCGAAACCAATGAGAGCACAGTTTGAAATGTTGAACAGCTGCCAGCCCTGCATGAATGACCCCATAAACCAGCCAGCATCTATAGTTGGGTGGGATGATCAACTATTGCTCGCATTATCATTGCCTCCATATTTCCTTCCTCAATCCACTTCCCACTTTGCCTATGGATAAGTTCCTTTTTACTGTTCCTTTTTTCCTCTATTGATTTTTCTCTCTTTCTCCAGTATTCAAGCTTCTCTGTTCTTTCTTTCATCTACAGAAGTTCAAGTCTAAAATTAGATATATAAAATACAGTTAAACACATTCAACGAAGTATTATCAAGTCAGTTGAACAATAACAAGCTAGGTAGAAGAATATACATCCACCTAATCCCTCAATTCAATTTTCATTGAATGCAATTCCAATACAGAATGCAATGCTTATGTAATTATCGTAAATGAGACCATCAATATGATAAATTAGAATACTCATACAGGTTTTAAGGAACTATAATGCACAACTACTCTCTTACTCTCTATGTGAACATGCTTCAATGTTGGCAACATTTTATTTCGCTCTGGTCTATCCATCAGTCATGGTGGAACTTACTTTTTCCTAGTGGAAAGCAACTTCTAGTTATAGAAATTCATCACTGTACTTGAAAACGGGGCCATTTAACTAGCAACAAAACTGTGATGGAACATGTAGCTCTTTTTTCTTTACCATCTTAGGAAGTATCACGAGAACTTTCATGCATCAAAAAGTGATCTATTACATGAAACTAAACAAAGTTTAACAGTAAACTCCATACACCAACATTCATACTTCTGGTTATGGAAAACAACTAACTTTAGATTGAAGAAGTCTTTATATCATAAAAGCGTTCTCATAATTCATAAATGTCACTTTTACCATCCAACTTATTGTTATTATCTTTTGATTAGCTAGCAATGATGCTAGGATCTTTAAACTCATTAGAAGCTTGTATATACATTAAATCATGATACTAAGTAACAACATATAAGGGTATATCTTTAAACCTGTTAATTTAGTATATAGATTGAGAGTATAGTATAAATAAGCATTGGCTTGTAAATTATGGTTGTTTCCCACATTAAACACTTTGACCTAGATTAACAAGAGAACCTTTCACCCCCTTCAAAAAATTTCCACTATAATCATTAATTGTTTTCAAATAATCTAATCCAATACTCTGTTTTGCTTCCTTTAAAAAGCCAAAGTTCATTGGTAGGCTGACATGGTAAAGCCAAAGTTCTCAGAAAGCAATCCATCATCAATACATTTAAACGAAATCCAATTACTACAATTTTTACTATCACTACAAGAAACAGATCAATGACCTCACAAACATTGTTTTCAAAGATAGGTAGCCTAAATTTTCAACCCAGTCTAAAACATCTTCTACTGCGCTAAGGTGACCAACACCTCCAACTTCATGTTCTCCTTTAAGTCTTCAACCCTTTTCTGTAATCTTTACAATTCTAGGTTTAAAGGTCTAGCAAATGACATATGAAGGGTTTTACCTTAGACCTTAAATGGATTGCTCGCTGCAATGTCATTGCCTCATTGGGTAGAATGTTCACTTTACTTATGAAGGGGGTTGCTAACAGATTGCTCGTTGCTATGTTATTGAGGTGTAGTGACGGTCATATCACATTAAATATTATGGGCTAATAACCACGATTAGACCTTACAGTCTACTTGAGCACTGTTCCAACCAATTAGATCCAGCATGAACCTTGGAGAGCCTAAGCTGAAAGTCAAGGATTAGAATAAAAAACACAAATAACTGTAGTTTTCATAACGACATCATAAGTTGCCTGTACATCTCAAGGAGGCATGTATCAAACTGACTATGTCTGCCCTAGTAGTACGAGCAGTAATTTTTACGAAATTTTAACCTAAGCTACTCCGTATTAGATTTCAAACATGTTTATCAAAACCCATACTTAAAATATAGAGTCCAAATCCATAGTCTCTACTCCCTAGCTATGTTTTCCTATTTTGTCATTCGCTTACATTCATTCAATTCATTTGTGCAACAACAATACCAAATAAAAATTTTGTTACCAAATTTACGCTGCTTGGCAAACTAAGTAATCAAACCTTTAAAGCCCATCATTGAGGTCGTGTACCACTTCAACACATTCACATAATCATAGGAAACCAGTGATGATACTCTGATTTTCACGGCATTTTCACATCACTAACCTAAAATTCATCCTCAAAATCATAGAAACACAGTGATGATCCTCCCAATTTAAAGGCATTTCTGCATCATTAACCTAAAAATCATAGAAAAATAGTGATGATCCTTCCATTTTCACATCACTAACCTAAAATTCATCCTCAAAATCATAGGAAAACGGTGATGATCCTCCTAATTTCACAACATTTTCTTATCACTAACCTAAAAATCATCCTCAAAAGACAATTCCCCAACAATCAATTAATCAATAACACACAAAACCCTAATTCTCACACCTAAAATTCCACAAACAACAAAAATCACAACACAATCAAGGAGACTAAGAACCAAACAACATTACCAAAGTATTGCGAAACTCCTCCTCGAAAGCCTTACGCTCGGCAGCACGAGCCTGAGCAGCAGCAGCCTTAGACTTATTCCGCTCTTCCCTTTGCTGAAGAATCTCAACTTTCTGCGCTTCATCTTTGCGCAGCTGCTCCTCTCTCTGCAACTCTATCTCATGGATATACTCCTTGCGGAGCTCCTTGACTTGCTTAGCATAGTCGCGGCGAAGGAAGGCGAGTTTGGCTTGTGCTTCCTTAGGGTTTTTCGGGGGTTCCCAGCTTCCGATAATGTTGCTGGGTTTGAGGTATACTTGGTTTTGGCTATGCTCTTTGTGATGCGATGGTTTGGCAGTGGTGATGGTGGAGAGAGTGGAGGAATGGCAGAAAATGGTGGTGATGTGGTGGTTGGAGTGCCGGGCTTTGAGTAGCGATGCTGCCATTTTTGGTTGATGTTGGTGGGAGTGTGTCGATCAGTGGCGTCTCCGGGATATCCGAAGTGTGGGTTCAAAACTTCGGAAGTTCAGAATTGTAATTCACAAAGGAATGAAAAATATAAGTTCAAATTATGGATTACAAATAGATTACACATAAGAAAAATGAAAAATTCAACAATTCAAAAGCAAAAGCAAATCAAGTCAATTCAAGTATTCAACAAATTCAGCTCATGGAAAGATCGGCAACTCATATCATTTTTAAGATTCATAAGTCACCAAACATAGTAACATACTAGTTACCAAATTAATCGACGCTAAACAAAAGATTAAAAACCCCATATATTCTGACCTTGTCAATACTTCAAAGGTTCATAATAAACATGCAAATTGAACATATCATTTGGTATTTATATTTTATAAAGCTGGTTAAACACAGAGAACCAAACTACCCAAGAAAATTCTTCACTAGAAGAGATTTGATTTACCACAAGCAACAAAACTCAAACATAATATAGTTCATAATTAGCCAAAGCCAAAAATAGAGCTCCTAATAGGTTTAATGGTAGTAAATAAAAATCATATACCAACAATGACAGAGCAGAATTGAAAATTCAAGTACTTGATCATTCAACATTACATATAATAGAAGTAAAATTTTGATTGGAGAATTATAAAATAACTATCAAGCGTTCATAATTTACCTAATTAACGGTGAAGAAGATAGCCAAAGGTACTACCACCACGAGTCCACAACGCACGACACCAGTTACTGCTACACATACATGATAAATGCAGAATGAATGAATGATAATAAATTCAATAATCAATATCAGTTAAACAGAAAATCAGATAATCAATATCAATTAAACAAAAATTATAGGACTCAAATACTCAACTCAAATAGTCAAATATCCGGTCACAACTTCAGTTTCCAGAGGAAAATTCCCAAAATCGGCTAATCAAAACAAATCTCCAGTTTCTAATCGACTAATCATATTCTAAAAAATCATTTGGGACTTATAAATTATAATGAAGACAATTAGACAAAACTATAACTAAACACAATCAAAAGACTCAAAACCAATCTTCAATTTCTACTTTTCTAGACGAGATTGTTCTGTTTAAGCAAACAAAACGATTATACAGATAGCAAGTAGTTTATTTGAGCACAAATTCCACATAAATTAAGCCAATTAAACTTCAAAACAATCCACATGCACACAAAACTCAGCTAATACTGATTACCCATTAGTAGATAACAAAACCCCATCAACATTCCGAGCAAAAACTGGCACAAAAACACAAATTTAAACAAAAATGACATAATTAAATCATATACAGAAAACCCACATCAAAAATCCCCAAATCGTAAATTAAATTAGGCAATTAGCGAATGAAAATATGAAATTCACTGATGAGTGATGACTGACCTCACTACGACACTACCTCAGCGAAATCGGACCATCGGACTGTCGGTGTCGGAGGACCTGATGGCTGGCTGGTGACGCGTCGGCTGCGGGACAGAGGAACGGTGGAGTGGCGGACAGTCGGGACAGGGTTAGGGTTTTACGATTTGGGAGAATGAGGAAGTGTATGTTCTGTTGTCTTGAGGATTGAGGAAGGCAGGAAGTGAGGATGTAGGATAAAAAGGGAAAAAAAATGTGAGGTACGGGTTTTGAACCCACGATCTCGTGTTTGATGGGAAGTAAAAATAACTACTGGACTGCAACTTTACTTCTTGTCATACATTTCACAAGTATTCTATTTAACCCTTTTTCGGTTTTTATTTTGTTTTTTTAAAAAAAACTTTTCAATTTTTTTCAAAAAATTAGTGAGTTCAATGACCCACATTGGATTCACCCCTGTTCAGTAGAGTATTACATACTACTATAGTTTAATGAACATCAAAACATTACATTGAAGCGTTAAAACAATTTACAGGGAAAGGTAGAGTCAGTAAGAAATACTAAGTGATAAGCAAACAATTTGAGAGGGGAGGGGGAGAATCAAAACTTAGTTGGCTAACAATCTAACTTAGTATTATTCAAACACTATGTTGCATCGAAGTAAGGGAAAAAGGGAAGTAACTTGTTTTTAAGAGGACCCTTAAGGGTGAACAATTAAATGGTTCACAATGAGTGAACAATAAAATGGTTGGCTTAATGGCAAACTCTAAGTTTGTTCATCTTGAGTGGTTGCAAGTTCGATTGTTGCTGCAATTAGTCAGAGGAACAAATTCAATTTTGTTCAAGGGAGCGCGCCGCTGCTTGACACGTGTTGTCAGTTTTAAATATATTCGTTGTAATTTTACAACGGATATATTTTACAAAATACAAATCCAAAAAAAAAAAAAATTACCAACGGCTTTCTTTTTTCCCCTCTATAAATAGACACCCATATTGATATACTTTCTTCAACTTTAAAAATCCATTTTCTTTTCTACTATATTTTTCTCTTCAAAAATCCCCTCACTAATTACCAATATTATTATTATTTTTACCAATATTAATATTATTATTGTTATTATTATTTTTATTTATTATCATTAATATTATTATTATCGTTACTATTATTATTATTATTATTATCGTTATTATTATTATTATTATTATTATTATTATTATATTATTGTTATTATTATTATTATCGTTATTATTATTATTATTATTATTATCATTATTATTATTATTATTATTATTTCTGTTTATTAAGATTGTTAAGATTATTATTATTATTATTATTATTATTATTATTATTATCGTTATTATTATTATTACTATTATTATTATTATTATTATTATTATTATTATTTCTGTTTATTAAGATTATTATTATTATTATTATTATTATTATTATTACTATTAATATTAATTTTTTTTTTCCAATTATAAATTATAATTATGGATGCTAATACCAACCCCAATACAAATAGAAAGCAGAAAAAAAAATTTTGGGTCAAAATATTATCCCAAATCAAGCCAATTTCTATCCAAATCCCCCTAATTTTTCACAAACACCCACAAATATTCCCCATATTTTTTCTAGTGTTTATCCTCAAAGACCCCAGTCAAGTTTCCCATATAATCCACCAAATTTCCCTCAGAATTTTAATTTTTCTCAAAGCATTTCAAATTTCCCACATCCATCCATGACACCAATGGGTTACGGTGAATATGGTGCTGCATCTGGTTATTTTCCGTCACAACAACCGAATCCCAATATTTGGGAATCGAGCAATGTCTTATCTGAAGAAGATGAGGCAAATGAAGAATGCGAGGATGATGGTGAGGGAAATGAAACTCCTTCCCCCCATCAAAACTTCACTCAAATGTTAAAGCAACCACTCCAATCAACTCCGGAATTTTGTGTTGGTTGTTCAAACAATAGAAGTTGGTCGCGATCAGAAACTGCGGCTCTTATATCCGCCTACATGAACATCAGCACCAACATAATTATCGGCACAAATCAAAAGAAGGGTCAATTTTGGAACAGAGTCTTGGACGCATACGATGCTACCAGGGTATCGAATCCAGTTGAAATATCCCTACGAACTATTAGTAGTTTGAAGGGAAGGTGGATGCGAATCTCTGAAGCCGTGTTAAAGTGGTGCGGAAGCTATGATAAGGCCCGGAAGCGAAAGGGAAGTGGCTATAACGAAGATGATGTTATCCAAGAGGCCCACAAAATCCATGAGAACTCGTTCGAACGATTCACCTTCTACGAGGAATGGATCCAACTTAGGAAGTTTGACAAATTCCGGTCTTTCTTGGACCAACAAACATTCAAGCCTTCGGTGGGACATCCACATTCAAATCCACTGACGGATGAGTCTGTAGGGAGCGGAAGTAGTGGGAAGAGGACACGGGATGAGGGTGACAATTCCTCACCTACCACACCGACCAGCGTGGGTGTTGGTGATGAGAGAGTAGCTCGTGCTGAAGGAATTAAAAAGGCTAAGTCGAGGTTGAAGGGTAAAGCTCCATCAAGTGAAGCATTTAAGGAATTAGAAACATTCAACACCCGATTGCAGCTATTTGGGGATTCGATGAATGTGTCAAACGAAGCAGAAATGAAGAGTCTTGAAATACAGTAGCGCAAGGAGGCAAGGAAACAACGGAAAATTGAGCTAGAACAACATAGGATCCACTGGGAGCAACTAGCTCGTCTAGAACAGAAAGTAAACCGAGAACATTGGGAAGACGAAATGATAGTAATACTTCAGAACAAAATTAAAAGTTTCACTAATGATGCTTAGGCATTGTAATCTTCATTTTCAGTAGTGATAAGTTTTCAATTCCAGTTCAACCTCTTGTACTCATTTCCAATTATTTGTACTTTATCAATTAATCACTAAAATGGATCTTTTCCACTATCCCATTTTCATAGCCCATGTGATCTTTGTCTCTTTATTCAATTATATCAATTTGTCTCTTTATATATAATTGTGTCAGTATCTTAATTTCCCCTTTGTTAGCCCATGTGAAACCCTTCTTGTCCATTCAATTTCTGTGTGGTTCTAATCCAGTATTTGTCATAGCCCATGTGATCTTTGTCTCTTTATATTCAGTTATTTCTGAAGAAGAATTACAAATTAGTTCACTATAAATAAACACCATTCTTTCATTTATTTTACACACAAACACATAAATCGTTTGCAGTTAATATTAGAAAACCTCACTCTATCTTACATTTCTTACGTAGAAAATGAATTCAAACAGTTTCAACTTAAGCTCAACCGATTCCTCTTCATCTTCATCTAACTCGGATGATGAGGGAAGGGAGCTTAGAGTTCAACAACGTAATGAAGTGTGTCTTATGATACAACACGTAATGCATGAGTACATTCCACCAATTATTCAACCTGCCGCTCAGCAACGCCGACGCAAATCTACTGAGCCCCGAAAGGATAGGGGACGCGAAGAAGGTCATGCACGGTTATACAATGACTATTTCGCGGAAGTCCCAGTTTATCCAAGTTCCTTGTTCCGGCGCCGGTTTCGAATGCGTAAACATGTGTTTGAGCGCCTTCTCAACGCAGTGACCCAACATGACCTTTGTTTCAACAAAGGCGAGATGCGGCAGGTCGTCTTGGGTTGTCTCCACTTCAAAAGTGCACTGCGGCCGTTAGACAACTAGCTTACGGGTGTGCTTCAGACGCTTGTGATGAGTATGTCCGTATAAGTGAGGCTACTTCACGATTGGCACTCCAAAAGTTTACAGAAGGTGTCATCAACCAGTTCGGTGATCAGTACCTACGCCGTCCAAACATCGCAGATATGGAAAGATTGCTACGTATTGGGGAAGAACGTGGATTTCCTGGCATGATAGGCAGCATTGATTGTATGCACTGGGAGTGGAAGAACTGTCCACACGCATGGAAGGGGCAGTATCAAGGAAGAGCAGGAGTTGCAACTCTCGTACTGGAGGCAGTTGCGGACAGAGATCTATGGATATGGCATTCGTTCTTTGGGATGCCAGGTAGCTGCAACGATATTAATGTGCTTCATCGATCCCCTGTGTTCGAAGACGTCTTAGAGGGTCGAACACCTTCTGTGAACTTCGTAGTCATTGGTCATCATTATACGAATGGGTATTATCTTACTGATGGAATCTACCCTAGATGGGCTACTTTTGTGAAATCCATTACGAGTCCACAAGCTCGTAAGGATCGTTTATTCGCAAAACACCAGGAAGCTGCAAGGAAAGACGTTGAACACGCATTTGGGGTCCTTCAAGCTCGTTTTGCCATTATTAAAAAGCCGTCTTTGGCGTGGGATACCGACATACTCCACAATATCATGCTCGCCTGCATTATATTACATAATATGATCGTTGAAGATGAACGAGAGACGTATCAAAATAACGTTAATACCAATGAGTTTATGAATGCTGGAGGCAACGCTAATGAGGACATTACCGAGTACCGTACTGATCGTATTGTGGATATCGACTTATACTTGACTCGTAGAACAGAGATTGAGGATCAACAGACTCATTTGCAGCTAAAAAACGACTTGGTCGCACATATATGGAATAAATTTGGTAACAACGAGAACTTACGCAATTAGGTTTACAACAAATGGTTATCCCTAAGGACATCTTACAAAACGATGTGTAGTAGTTCTTTTTTTTTAAAAAAAAATGTACTTGATTATAGTTGTAGTACTATAATCACGATTTGTACCTCTTTTTTTTTTAATTATGTTAATTAAAATTAGCTGCGTTGTTGTTTAAAAATATTGATCACAAGAATTAGTTTTTAAAAAAGCTGATAAAAAAAAGCGATAATTTCTTAATTAGTAATCACGATTAAAAAATTAAATACGTCAATTAATTACATTGACATCGAGTTAATAAATTATAATTATGAATTAAATAGATTATATTTACAAAAATAAAATAAGGTGGGGTAGGGAGTATTGATGATGAACCATTGTTTAGTGTTCATTGTTAAGAGTGAATATTGTAAATGGTTTGTTGGGTTGATGTGGATGAGAGAGAAATGGTGATAGTGACCCATGAACCATTTTTTTTTGTTCACCAATAATGATGCTCTAACGGTCATATTTAACATCTAAAGTTCATGAAATCGTCAAGTCCATGCAGAAAAAGCTTCCTTATTCCACACCCTTAATTTCACTTTCAAAGATCT